TGGGTTTTCTACAATGATTAATATTGTTTTTGCTTGCTCAGTTTTACATTTATTACTTAAGGGAATTCATTGTTCTCACTAGCTGAAAGCTCTGTTATCTTTATTTTCCCTTTTTCCCTGTAAGCATGGCTCATGCATATTTATATGATCACACATGGTGGTGAAGGACTTGCTGTGGACATAGCTCACCTACATGAATGGTGACTGGTTTCATTCAGCACAGTTTACAACAGCTGGTTTTAAGTAGAATTGAAAGTCTAGGAGGGTGGTTGTTTACTGTAGGAGCCACTTAACTCACCATGTGAGCTGTCACATATTGCAGATCAATTCTTTCTCTGGTAAAAAGGGCATTTCAGTGGGCAGCTACCAGCCTGTTCCTGTATCACACAAGTCTGACTCACCTATTTGTTGGCACTGTCATGGCGCACTGAAAAGTTCCCTAATTCTCACTGAGTTCTCACCCCCTCATCCTCTGTCATAGATGGTGTATGATCTGAGTTTCTCTGGACACATTATGAACATTATCATCAGTAGATACCTTTCCTCTGTCTGTATGTTTGGAAACTACAGCAAACTTATGTAACAACTTTAATTGATAATTAAGTAATACTACTTCCCCCCAGTAAATACAAATAATATTTTTTATTGTATCAAATTTGACTGATTTTATTGTTTATTGATTAGTCATACATGTGTACAGTATTCTAATATACATGTGAAAAGTGAGAAATGTTACCCTCTGTTTTAAGAAACAGTGAAATATAAATGCAGTGTTCTTTCATGACTTTTTCATGAATTTTTGTAGCCTTTTTTGAAGTGTGACGAAGATCAGCAGTCTTGTACCAGGCAACAGTTACCTAACTGTTACCTAACAATGACATACTTTTGAGCAGCGTCCTCTGATCAGCTAGCAGAGGACTGTGTTTCTCCAGAAAGTGAACAAGGAATGCATGCATCTGGTTTTCATACCCTCATTATCTTAATCTATCAGTGGAATCTTTGTTTTTGTAGTTGTTGCTTCTGTAAAATGTTTGCTTTTTTTCCCTGAAGTGTGAATATTTTGATTAGTTGCTACTCCGAGTGACCCATTCCAGGAAACTTAACTTCTTATAAAGGATTTCTCAGGGGCTATATTCAATACCTTTACCACCCTGATCCCTGAAATTTAGCTAGGTTGTGGATGTGCCTGGATGGGACAGATTTAAGGGATATGAGATTACAGCTCGAAGAGATGCCTGGAGACCATTAGATGGTGCTTTTTCTCTTGACCTGAAATTCCACACTAATTGCCCAGTATGGTAATGGGACAAACTGTACTGTAGATGATCCCATCATTCCTATGTAATGATTTAAGGTTGTTAAGGATTCCCGGGCGCTACCTGAAAATGAAATAGTGTTAAAACTGGGGGTTGTTCCAGATTCTTGCTTAAATGGATTTTTTTCCTGTTAAAAAGGGAGAAGACAAACAGGGAAAATCTTGAATCTGAATACATCCAGTGACAGAAAGGAACTCTGAATTATAGGCATAAAATTTCAATTGATTGTAAGTGTACGATGACAGCAGACAGTTGCTGTGATTTCTTACTGTCTGTTCCTCTGACTGCTATTAAAAGCAACCCCAGCAGTGTGATTTCCTCTCCTGATCTCCGAGTCTGAATCCACTGAACCATGACAGCCTGGTTGCCATGGAGACCGGCTCCCTCTGCTATATACTGCATCAGTCCAACACCAGACCTCTAAGAAAGTCGGGCCTCACTCAGGACGCCACGGAAAAGCCTAGACATTTGTACTCCCCAATCTAATTCTGATAACTCGTAAGGCAGTCTTTAGACAAATTTCATAACAAGCTATAACCTGAGATTTTGGGGGGGACTTACTGTCCTACGTATTGTCCTCTGAGACATAACTCATCCCTCATCCTCCAAACAATTACCTAAAACCACCAAATGTTGCTTTGTTACTCCTTCCAAATCCTGTTCTTCATTCTTTAGCATCCACAATCGTTATCACCTCCTGGCAGAGAGCAGTTAATTCACCTGAAGTCTTTGCCTTTCACCCTCTAGAGTGAAACAGTGTTCAGTAAGCTACAGAGCAAATACCATTAATAAATAACCATTGTTGAATAGATGGCATTCATTATATTGAAATAAGTTAGCAAAGAAATGTTTCAAATGTAGGGTGCTGCCCCTGTTAGCACTTCATAGGATCAAAACCCCATGGCCAGATGAGCCTCACCAGCAAAGAGAACACTCAAGAAATGTTTTCCACATTGCATGATGGTGCAGTATGCTTAAAATTGCAGAGTCACAAGATAACTAACTGTGTTAAAGGATTTATTCATTGAATAAAGAATATATATTCATAAACTGGCCCTATGGGACTAGACAAAATGTTGTGAAAAGAGGATTCTTTGATACAGATATATCATTCGTTACTTGTTCCATCATCCATATCAGATGTCTGCCCTTGGGGTTTAACAGTCATTGGCCAATGAATTATGGAGCCCTCCATTGAAATGCATACACTTTCAAAACAGCAGGCTGAGGGTGTGACAAACCTGAGACAGAGCTCAGAGCATCTTTCTGGCCAGATCCCGCCTCAGATCTCCATCCAGATTGGAACCGATGGTAGTTGTGCAGTTTCCAGTCCCATGTCCAACCTCAGCTGATGGTGAGCCACGAGAAGGATGGGATAGAAATGGGCTGGAAGTAGTTCAAAACCTAGTGGAACACGTCTCACGTCCTGTTCAGCATTGTCTTGCAGCTGAGAGAGGCCCGACTTGTTTCTTCAGCTGTGTGAGGCCACGCTGAATTTGAAAGGTCACTCGATAAAATCAGAAGTGTTCGTCGGATTGATGTAATTCTTCTCTGTGAGTGTTGAGATTCTGCTAATGTGTCACACATGAGGTGTAATGCTTTTACTCAAAAGGTGCCATTTTTGTTTGATATTTCCGCATATGTGCGTATGCCGGTGTATGTGCGGATCTGAGTTTTTATGTGCACACGGACACGGACATCTGTACATATGTAAATAGAGGATGTAATTTAAATCAATTAACGTTGAAAACGGCACTTTGGCTCCCTCTAGTGGCTATATGACATCAAACTCCTAATTACTCTTAGCACACTTTCAAAAAGTTTGCACCGTGACATCTTTACGGTGGGCAACAGATTCCAGTTCCTACCTCCCAATGTCCCACTATGGGTGGGACACACTATACACTATGGGTAATAAAAGCATATTTTCTAAAGTCTGCTTTGTGAAATTGTCAGTTCCGAATAAGAAGCTTACCGGAAGCTCTTTGTGTTTACATGAACACTGGGAAACAGAAAAGAAGAGTTGCCGGCCGAAGTCACGGTGTTGATCCCCATGACAATCAGGTAAACATCTTTGTGTTCGTATCTCCCTGTGTACTACTACACTTACATTTGTCAAGAGCGGCCACAGCTGTGTTATTCTTATATTCTGTTATACTTTTGTCCCCCGACAGCGTTTAAAATCGCTGCGACATTTTGATGTTAGCCATTTTTGCAGTGCTAGAACTTTTTCGGGCAAAAAAAGCGAGCCTCCAAGTGACTTTCTTTTAGTCACAGCTCCCGTGAGAAGTTATAACTTATGAAAAATCCACATAATACTGTCATTGTTTTTATTTTTATGTTTTGTGCGATCATAATGATGATCACACCTGAAGAAGGCTTCACAGCTGAAACGTTGTTTTTTCTCTCTTCTCTTTCCAGCATGGAATAAACCTATTACTGGTTCCTATAATAATTTATAGTATCATTTAGTGGGATTGTACACATCTGCGCTAAATGCACCAATTATTATCAGCAGTGGAGCTGCAGGTGCAATATTGGTTGTATTCCATAGAAATACAGAGGCTGTGATATGTCCATAACGCACAAAGGTACTGATTGATAAAACACAAATTTTGCGCTGCGCAGGAAGGAATGCGATGAAGTTTAGCACGGCAGAACTTTGGTTTTGCTTGTTTCCTTTCCCTGATTTTCCGACTCACAACCGAAGAGCACCTGTTGCGTTGAAGTTGGCTGAGAGATCACCTGATTTCTTTTCGTTTTGTCAATGTAACACAAAGCTTCAAGCCAGTTTTCGAGTGTATTGCAACCCCCGAGTTTAAGTAAAGCACTGATTCAGAACAGAATTCTTTCATGAAAACAGAGCAGCTGAGAACGAATGGAATGGAATGGTTGATATTAAATGCTAACATCATTAAAAATGCAAACCAAGTCTTTTTGCTACATTTACCGTAGAAGTTACAAGTTGGACTCGGTATCTCTGAGAGTCTAAAATACAGTATGTGCTGTCAGGGATACACCATAGGCAGCGACCACTCAATGGAAATGCATTAATTTGGATGCATCACGTTACCTTCGAACATTATGGCTAGAGCGATTTTGCAAATGTGCGGTATCTAAATTTAACAGAATAAAGTTAATTTCATCCTATCCAAGGTACTTTACCCTAATTTTGGGATTCCGTGCCCAAAGTGTTTCTGCACCCACAGTGTACAGTACATGCCGTGTTAAGTATAACAGATCGTGTCTCCATTATTAGGTGTTATTTGGTTCCTCAGCAAAAATTCTATATTTCAACTGATTCAGCTGCAGAAACACACAAAGCACAAATGCACGTACATTACGCTAACCCATGCATGATTTTTATAATGCTGCACGCCCTTCTTTTTTAAAGATTGAACATTTATTGTGAACTGAACTTTTCAGTCAAAGCAACAATTGTGGTCGAGAGCTAATAATGTACTGTACTCCCTCTCTCTTGATTTCATTTTCTGAGGTCATGTATTCAGGAACACCAAACGCCGCTAAAAGATGTTGCTTACTCCATCTCCTTCAGTTTTCATGGGGAAAAAAATTGCATTTATTTAGATTTTAGATGTATTTCCCTCAGCCTCATCGGGTCTGAACAGCACGCAGGCGCGAAGTGTTAATTTCAGGGAGAGAGTGCGGTCAGGATCAGGTCTCTTACCCCCAGGCGGTCTGTGCCAGGCGCACCAGGTGTACATTTCACGCGAGAGATCTTTTCATAGCGAGGAGAAATACCCTGTGTAACCGTGTTGCTTTGCATGTCTCTTAATTTGAGAAGCTTTCTAAATAACTACCAAGGACCGAAGGTTTATACCACTGTCTATATCGGTTACTTTCGTGCATGTTTTTTAAACTGGATTCCCTTTCCTGACAATTCCTTATTTGAAGGAACCCAGTTGTTTGCATTTTGCCAAGATGAGCTGTTTTAGAGCCGCTGTTGGAGCTGCGTTTGTCCTTACGGTTGTACAAACCTGTTGCTGTCAAACTGCAGGTACGGTATGTTCTGCTTCACTCTTACTGTAAATACAGCCATTGTGAATCTTGAAGGTTTATGTAACTGGAACATTTAGGAGTTTGCTCTAAGACGTCTCTTACGTTAGCGTTTCCATAGACAGTGCCACACCAGTGTGCTTTTAATCAGTAAACGTTAATACGGTAGTTTGACGTTTAGAAAAAAGTCCTGCTGTCTTGTTGATTAGTGTGTCAACGCGTGGTTGAGATCAAACGGCGGGGAATAACGTACAGTACATACAGTACCTTGCAATCGAAAAAAAAAGTCTCTAAACCTGCCTAACACATCTTATGATCGTGGTTGAAATGTCAATCTAAATAGGCTATAGTTTTAGGCTCGGATTTCATTTAAGCGTTTCTTTTGACTGTGTAGTGGGGAGCTTACATTGTATCGCTTTTTTCAGCTCAATCTATTTGGCCTTCATGGAACAACTGGATTGAATGACGTATCTGTTTTGGCTCTCATTGTAAATGTTCATAAAAGAAAGTTTCCTGTGGTCGTCTGTATTATTCATACCTGGGCTATCCAAAATAGATATTTTTCACTGTTCTAAGTTTTGCCCCTTTCAATGAAACTACTTTTCTAAATATACTTCCTCAGCAGAAGCCATGGGCTTTAAATTGATCGTTTTCTTTTCATGTACATTATTGATTAATTAATTGTAATAACTTGTAAACAGCAAATTAAGTAATGGGTTCTTTGACTGATAAACCAGTCATGTTGTTGTTACTAAGACTTGCTCTAGCATATAAGACCGTATAAAGGTTTCTCATCACAATGGAACTATTCTTCTTACCTTACTCGAGTTAGTAGTTTGCTGAACCACAAATTTTATTCAACTGTTACTTAAAGGATCCTATCCACTCACATTCAGCCCCAACAGAGGATTAATCGCTCCAGACACTACCAGCTCTTTGTGTAGTGGACTGTTACTTGCGCCTATATTTAAGTTTCATAGAACTTATTCATATCATGCCTTTAAATAAATAGAAAATATTACAGTGTGCTTTAAGTGTTCTTTTAAGTGGGGGCGCAGAATCCTTTTAGAAGTGACCTCCATGTACTCTCTTGAGCACAGCAGCTAACAGGCTCTTATCTCTCTCCAGTTTAATTGAGGCATTGAGGCATGCTGAGTATCAAGGCTCTCAGACTGGAGTGAATCAAACTTAGATTTTAGTATTAGCCAATACATTGCAACTTGGTTTCTTAGTTTCTAAATATATAATCTGATGCCTGATGACAAATAGCTAGTACAGTAAATTGCAGGAATCCTTCCTCCCACACAAACTCAAGTTTTGTAAAACTATTGTCATCATTTGCGTTCTCTGTCATTATTTATTTGTTTGTTTCACAAGGCAACTTTAAATATAGAATATCTGCATTAAAAATTAGTTGTGTCATGTCATTTATACCATACGGTGTCACGGGAAGCCAGAGCCTACCTGACAAGCAGTGAGCACAAGGCAGGGTACACCTGTCTAGGCGCCAGTGCATCGCAGGGCAAGTGCAAGCCTGTCATACATGGGGACAATTTGTAATTGTAAAGGTAAAGGCCGAGGGGTGAAATTTGGCCTGGACACTGGGATAACTCCCTACTCTTGTCGAGAAATGCCCGGGGTTCTTTAATGACCACCGAGAGTCAGGACCTCGGTTTAACGTCTCATCCGAAAGACGGATTAAAAAGTGGTACAAGGAACAATTTTGTTTGTACAATAAGATTAAATTAATTAACAACATGGCAGCTTAGCTAGACATAAGTATCACATCAGAAAGTCAAGGAAGATGAATGAGATGATTAAGAATTAAAAGTGTGTACTATAGTGTGGATAGAGAGCAGTCATGTGAACATCCTGTAGGCATGGATACAGTACCTTGTTTACAATAAGTGCAGTTTGCAAGTTACATTGCCAGTATGAATTAGTAGCATTATGATTTCATGTTGTAATAATACAGTATTGACCAGCGCAGCTGAGATCTGAGAGGTTATGCAGAAGAGCTCCAAGCAGGTGTGGAAACATGGTCATGGAAAGAGCAGGTCTGATGTCTGTAGGTTGTTCATCACAGCTGTGGGGCAAGGGTGAAGACTGAATAGCAGAAGAGGTGCAGAAAACCTGGTAGAAGAGGAGAAGCTGAGAGAGTGGGAAGAGGTATAATGTAAGGAGAGATACGAGGCTGACCATAGGCAGGAGCAGACTGGTTGAGACAACAGTAAGTGAGTAGTAGTGTTTTTTATATAGCAGCAGGGAGACAGCAGGGAAACTGGAGTAACATGGTAGCATGAGAAAGCCCTTCTGGTGCCATAATTCAGTGTTTTCTTTTCCATTACACTCCCATAAGATGAAACAACGTCCAGTCAGCCACATGAAAGGGGCCTTGGAGACATCTGATCAAGCTGATTTTATGAGGTTGCTTTGCAAACCCAGTCCATTCCGTGACATAAAGCCCACTGTGCAATCTTGATTCATGGAGAACCTTAAAACATTTGCATGCAGTAGAAGGGAGCATATTTGTGCTCTGGAGCCGAATAACTTGGAAATTTTCCAAGCAAGCAGCTGAAATAATGTGATTTAGGGTGCTTTTCCAAATCACATTCTCTGAATCATGCCTAATGAATGTTTTTACACATTGCTCTTAATGTTTTGTTTTTTTTATTTTATTTTGCCCAATTAAGGAATACTTCCATGTAACAAACACATAAGAAAAGCTTGTACTTTGTTTATCTTTCATGTTTTCTCGTCCTCAAGGTGTATGAGAGATTTGTGGTCCATATTTTAGCTCTACTGGCAGTGTGGTTAATGGGTGTCCCTCTGTGCGTGCGTGCATGTGTGTGCGTGTGTGTGATGGACTGATGTCCTGTCTGGGCTGCAGTCCTGATATTTCTGGATTAGGCACTGGGTGGCTACAACCCTCACCAGGAAGGGTGTTCAGATAAAGGAAGAATGGGTGATAACCCTACTGAAAAGGCAGTCTGAGTAAGTACGTTTAATGCCTGAACATAAGAAAAGTTAAAAAAAATGAGGCCGATCGACTCATCTGGCCCATTAAGTAGTTAGGTAGTTAGTAGTTAATTGATCCAAGGATCGCATCCATCCATTTCTCAAAAGAAACCAGGATAGTGACTTCAGCAACAGCTGCTTTCTTTGATCTTGTCTGCATCAGCAGTGTTTTTTTTCTGTTTTGTTGAAGGAGACTGCTCTCAGCTGATGTCCTGCACTGACTGTATCAGTGGTGACTCCTCGATGAACATCACAGGCTGTGTGTGGAGACAGTGTGATAATGGTAAGAACTAGGCCAGAAAAGGCTCTCACTGGAATGAACCTTGTGTCCATTCCTGATGGACTTATTTGATCCTTCTTTTTATGTTTTATTATTGTCTCCTTTCTAGTGGTGTTCAAATGCTTTAGCAACAACATTTATCTCAGCATGAGTAATAATATAGTAATGCTTACCATTGCATAATAATTATGTAATATTTTAAATGTGGCGTAAACCTATTTGGTTCCTATTTGACCAGCGAGAGACTTCTATTATGAACTCAGTTGACAAAACAATCATACAAAACAAATGTTCCCACACATGGTACTGAAGACACAAATGGTTTGTACAATAACCAGATGATGCCCAGTGAGCTGAGCTACTGTATCACGTGGCTAGAAAAAAGCATATGAATGAATTTCTTATTTAATGAAAGCGAATTGTGCTTTGGAAAAATCATAAAATATTCTGAACCATTCATACAAATTTGAAAAGAAGACTGTAAGTAGACTGTAAAACTTACAGTTCTGGGTAGCCTTGCAGTGAAAAGGGCTTAGGGCAAGATACAGGAGTAAGAAAACCCAGCTGTGAAATCCGATACCCCCAGTGGTATCCAAGAGCTGGCATAGCAACCCCGCTGGGGCCTGTGAATAATTGAAAACATGAACCTGGCAGCTATAAAAGAAGTAGCCCTGCACTAAGCGCATCATCATTCCCCCACTCAAGAGGCGATCTTAACACTCTCCACACTGTTGGAGATTAAAAATCAATGTGCTTTGAGTTATGAAGCCTTTTATTTTAGCGAGAGCCAACAATATCTTAACTCTTACTAACATACTTCACTATCGGCCTATTTAGTTCCCAGAAACATCACACAGTTCTGTATTTTAAGGTTCCAAGATCCAGAAGCTTTATCCAACATTATTTTGATAATTATAATGAATTGAAATTGGACAGCATTATCTCCAGTAAGAGGTTTTTTGTATTATATGGCATCTGGAGGTTTACATGGAAGAAGGGTATTTTTCTGTGTCTCTACAAAAGGTTTAACCTGGAGATCCTCAAACAAAACGAATTATCTTGCATTCCTCACTTAAGCTTCCTTACTGAAAAAGTCGGAGTTGAAACTATGTGGGAAACCTTCTGTCTTCTTAGGAAATCGGGCTTAAAAACAGTATCAAGCAGTCTGATCTGCTGGTTTGGATCTGGCTGTGACTTTGAATTAACCAAGGCTTGGACTGGGCTTAGTTGGTGAGGGCTGTACAGGCTTAAAGTGATGGCAGAGAGAGATGCTCTGCTCCTCCTATTGGCTCTTGTTCCTGTAAAGCACCATGGAGCTTTTATAGCCTATAGTGTTCCCTAGTTTTGTGTGTAAGACAGAAGAGCATTAAGTGATCTTTCTAGATCGGGCAGGGTTCTTCCTTAACAGTGCAATTGGAGGATATGCTTTTGGACATATCAAAGGATAATGATGTGGTACAGTCTCTTCTGGCCTGGAGGGTAAACACCACAATGAGAAAAAGTGTTCTTTTTCATTTGACCTCATTAAAACCTTCCATCAATTTCATAACCGGATCTTCCACTTCAGGGTTTCTTGGGAAGCCGGTGCCTATTCCAAGATGCAACGGGCGCAAGGCAGAGTACACCATCACAGGGCTGACACACAGACACAATCGCACTCAAACCCACCCGGGCCAATTTTCCCAGAAACCAGTTAACTTACCAGTAGGTTTTTGGGCTGTGGGAGGAAACTGGGGTAACTGGAGGAAACCCACAAACACTGGGAGAACATTCAAATTCCACACAGATACCACCCCAGGTCTGGAACAGAACCCCAGAAGACCCCAGAGCTGCGAGGCAGCAATGCTTACCACTGTACCAACTTACTGCCCCTCATTTAGACCAATGACCTCAAAATTAACAGCTCAGGGAAGCCTTAACTGCAGTGAGCAATTTGATGGATGCACAGCTTGTGTGATGCATCACGCAGTGTGCTGATTTCAATGTTTTTTTTGGGTACATCCTGACCTTGCTATAAATAAATGTCCTGAATCTTGCAAGACGTCAGTGTGATGACATAGTCTTCAAAGTGACTCAGCAGTTTCGCTTGGTCAGCAGGGCACTGAGGGGATGGAGAAAAAGAAAGGGCGTGGGGACATGGGGTGGCGTCTCATCTCATTGCCCAGGGAACCATTCCTGAGCTTAAGCACCATCAGTACCTGGTTGCTAGGTTACTTGGAGAGGTAGAGTATTGAACCAATGAACTGAGACAGTTGTGGGAAACAGAATAATGTCATTACAAAAGATGCAGGAGAGAGATACAGGAAGATAGAATAAACTGTGTTGTTTCTAATCTGGTGAGACTGTTAACGGATGTTAGGTTGTGCTATTAAAAGCAGCGGTTTTGAGTTGCTCAAAAATGTAATCTGCAGTATGTCTGATTACTCAACAGCTAGTGTAGTAAACTCCTGCAGAGCTCTGGTCCTTCATGTTTTATAAGAATAGGGTTTTAAATTTGTGGAGTAACCACCACTTTTCCTATTTGAACAATTATCTCAGTATTGCTGTTTCTTAAATTCTCCTAATCTTTGAAGCCAGCTGGCACCACGTAATAACAGAAACAGTCTTGTTAAAATAAGATCACAAACAATTAATAGTTTAACACTTTTTTTCAGTTATAATGTTAATGTGTCATTGCTGGTATTGAATAAAGAGGCCTGAGTATCAGCTTCAACATGGTTGGGTAGCCTGTTCCAAACTCCCATAACCCATTGTGGAAAGACGTTCCTGCTGTTCTTAGTTTTAAATGCACTTCCTCATAGTTTCTACTTTTCCGCTTGTGTCCTCTGGTTTAAATTTCAGTGTTTATTCTGAAGGATCTACTGAGTTACCTTTGTTAGTTCCACATAGGATTTTGAATACTTATATCAGGGCCCCTCATGGTCTTCTCTGTTGAAGAATAAAAAGTCTCATTACTTTCAGTTTGTTCATTTTAAGTCCTGGTTAAGTCCCAGAATGCATCTAGAACGATTCTGAAATAAAATGGTAAAGGAAAAAACCTCTGCTAACTCCATGCCCTAATTGAAGCCTTCATTATGATTTTTAAAGGCCATATTGATGAGTATGAGTCAAAGGTTCAATTAAATATTCAGAAAGGTAATTGGAATGGAATAAAGGGCACACAATGTCTATCAAAGACCAGTCCATCGCAGGGCAGACACACACACACACCAAGGCCAGTTTTCCCAGAAGCCAATTAACCTATCAGTACGTCTTGGAATTGTGGAAGGAAACTTGGGCACCCAGAGGAAACCCATTTGAACTCGGGGAGAACATACAAACTCCACGCTCCAAGCAGCCCAGGAACTGAAGCTGGGTCCCCATGGCTGCAAGTGCTAAACACTGCTCTACCATGCTGCCCTCCTGTAGTGCACTTTCTTGCTATTCACACATGAGAAGAATTACTTGGGATTTAAGCAGATTTCCCCTGTGGCTCCTGGCAACATGTGTTTTTTTTCTGCTCAACACGACAGACCAGGGCTTTACAAACAGTGAAACTACTTTTCATCCTCTTAACCCAGCAGTGCTTTTCAACAGAACCGCTGTTGTTGGGGTGTGCAGGACTCGTAGCAAAAGCCTTTCCACATAATTGGTAAAATATATCAGATGTGTGAAAATCTGTGAACCAAGTATATAATCTTGGTATATAATCTGTGTTAAATCTAGGACAAAGATTTAAAGAATAAGGGAATAATAAAGAACCTCTGTCCTGAATATAGTGACTAAAGTTCTCAGAAACCATTTAGTGCTTGCACTGTTTTTTTCAAAGAATCAGTTAATCGTTCTTATTTCGTTTTCAGGGCTTTTTCATGGAATCCTTAAAATTTAACTGGAATAGTAAGACTCGGTTACAGTGAATTGTCAAAGCTTATCTTTCTACACAACGCCTTTGTGCTGATAGTAGAATAGTGGTTTTGATGCGTTTTGCACAAAACCATTGTCACAGTAGTGGGCAGTAAAACATAGATGGCTTGTCCTGTGGTAATGTACCGAATAATGTGGTAATGTACCGCATGTATCAGGGCAACAGCCATCAAAAGTTGTGTTTTACAGCCATGATTATGATGTGTGCTAGTTGAATATCACACCAGTCTTCCCAGAGCACAGTTTTCTAATGTAGAGAGAAAGGTTTGGCGGGCTCTAGTTAATACCGGGGGCATCCTATGAGCCTCAAGTCTGTCAGACAGACATGCAATAATGTCATTGCTGTCCCTTAACCACTGTTTTACACTACCTGCTTTCAAACACAAGTGTTTTCCTCACATCAGTTGATCCATGAGCATCAACTTCCATTTATTATGAGAGTACACTGTCATCCTGTATTCCACAGTATATACTGTTTATCAAGGTGCCCTTCACAAAAAAACAGTGTCCCTAGTCCTAACTATGAGAATCACACCAAGACTTTTCTTACCGCCACTTCCATACATAAAAGTCAGTACTGTACTAAGTTAGCATTTTTTACTTACAATATTTTATGTACACTGCATTATTTGCAAATAATTCACAAAGATTTGACCTCAGCTGCGCATGAATCACATATCTCTATAGCTGTGATATTTTGGTGCCTGAGTGGGCTTTCTTTTCTAATCTCTCTTTCTCCCTCCATCTCCCCTCCCTTTCTGTTCCCCTTGTTGTAACAGGCAATGACACTGGCTGTGTGGCCAGCAGTGAGGAATCTCAGGGCTGCTCGTTGTACAATGACACTGCTATGTGCATCGGTAAGTTCCTGCTTCCCCTCCTACTCACAGTGTGAGCGTGCAAGGGCCCAGAGGGCTTGTTTTCTGCCTTTGCTTTGTCTTTGTGTGTCACATTGTATTTGTACCCCAGAGTGGCCTGCTATGTGTTGACTGTCTGTTAACGTTTGTGGTTACATTGTTTAGAGATGGTGATAGGATTCTGCACGTGTCTCTGTGTCTGCAATGGGTGCACCCGGACACGTTTTTTCACCAGAAATATGCTTTCTGTTGTCTGTTGTGTTTGTTTTAATTTTCTTGCAATCAACACTTATTCATCTCTTCCTTTTCTCCAGCTCTCTAATTGCCACTTGTTAATTAGCTCCTCCTGCCACTACAGTCCTTGGAACAGCTGTGCACAGATGTTGAGTGAAATATTGTATAGTTCATAGAGACTTGCATGGCTCTCACTAATAACACTGTAATCTGGACAACTACACCCTGGTTTTCCCAATACACACTCACATGGGGGACTCAGGTCATAGCTGGCCAGTGCCACAGCTCAGCGACAGCTTGGATTGTGTTCTAGAAGCTTTTCCTCATTGAATCCACTGGGGGCACGTTTGTACACTACATGGTTTAGTGATGTGCTTCGTTCTGACTTTGTGTTTTTCAGTTCATAGTATTTGCGCAGGTGTGGGTGTGTTTGACTTTGTGTTTGTACTTTCCTATGTCTTGGTACATGAGAATGAATTTGTGTTTGTCTCATTGCTTGAGTGACAGAAAATATTCTATTGAGCTATTTAGTTAAACCATGGGGCCTGGCTGCATTCAACACCTCCAGTACTCTACTGTATACTGTACTTTATTAATTAAATATGGATAGTGTTTTCTTTAACTATAATATTAAATTCATTTAGTTTGGTTGCATGGAGTATTGCTTTTAAATGAAAAAAAAAACTTCAGATCGAAGTTAAAGGACAGTATCACTTAAATTGCTTTCTGAGGACACCTTAATAAGCTATGATCTTCCTTTGTTAAATATTTAACCAGAACACTTGGAATAAATATGTCGTTAACATCCATCAGTAGGGAGATGGCTATCACACAGATCTGAGTCTTGCTGTTTTTAGTGAACATTTTCAATTATTTGTTATTTTTGAATAGTCTGTGTTGCAATATTTGATTAGTGGTCAGACAGAGTGTGGGAATGTCAGTAACACCTTTCTTCATCTTTTTCTACCTGCCTGTCTGTCTGAATGTGTGTCTGAATGTCCTGTCTGTGGTGTCTAGCTCCAGGAAGCACAGTCCCCAGCAGCAGCACTGGTAAGCAAAGATGCCCTGTACTGTATGTCAGAGCTGAGAGGGTCTGTCTCGACCTCCTGAGGTGAAACTATTCCCTGGGAAGAAGCCCACCACCTTCAGTGTCATTACTGCTCTACCTTTTGGTAGTTAGCAGTAATGAATGGTTGTTTAGAATTGAGATTTCTAAGACTCAGCACAACATCGGAGTGCTCGTTTGCATTTGAACAAGTCTTTTATTTTTCTGTTCAAATATTTCTACTTGGGGCATTTCACATAGTGTCTTTGGGAACTTGTGTTCTGTGGGATTCAGTGAAGACTGCCGAAACTAAAAAAAGTCATTTTATTAAAATGACATGTAAGTTTAATTTAAAAAATCTAATTACAACTCTGTTGCTGGAGTGACTTCTATTTTTTCTTCCAGTTTGAGTAATCAGTGTAACAATAAAGTCACAGTTTTTATTCTAACGTAGATCCACATATTATTTTTCTTAAAGTCTTTTACAGTTAATTTCTCATAAAACTCACTTAAAAATACTGTTTCCAATAAAACAACTCAAAGCCTTTTTAAAAGTATTATAATCATGCAGATAATTAAGTAATTTGTTAAAGATGTATCCATATAGATTTACTCATGTACAGTAGTTTGAAGATTAGGGGAACAAAACAAGACAACTCTAGGTATATCTGGAACTGAGTTTGAGACCCTGTACTTTACTTTACACAAAGGATGGTGGGTGGCTGGACCAGGCTCCCCATCCATTTCTTGATGCTAATTCCCTAGATCTGTCAAGAAATGGATGGATGAATGCAGATCAATAAGCTATTAACAATCAAGTACAGTAGGTCAAATGGCTTCTTGTTTGTAACCTTTCTTTTATTTCTTAATAGAAAGAATAATACTAAATCCAGCTTGAAAATGAATTACTCCTTTAAGTGAAAATGAAATGACTAGTCATTTGGGGCAGGATTTCTCTCTGGCCCATATGTCAGAGCCCATAGTAGATCATGATTAATTGAAGGTTGTAACACAAACTTCTGCCTGTGAATAATTCATTAGGCAACCCAGGCAGCAGCAATTAAGGATCACACTTTGCACACTTCTCAGATGGGACTCCTTGATACCTTCTTGTAAAATAAGACATTCTTTGCAGTGCGCAGCTCAGAACTCTTATTCACAGCCAATATGGTGAGGGAATTAAAAAAAATATACAGTATATACAGTATTTCATTAGTCAAAGGTATGCAGCTCTTTTGTTCATTGTAAAATCATTTTTTAACAAAAATCATTGAATAAAATTACCTTTACTGGAGTTTGACCTTAAATGTTTTGCATTAACGTCAAGTTGGCAGAAGTACTCATCTGCCTCAAGGTACAGTATGTTAATTGCTGCTATTAGATGATTACATGAATGGAATTCATGGATATAAGGACTTCTTAACATAATTTAATTTGTTCTTAGAGGTCATGCAGTGAAGACCTATGAGAGAGTCTTCATCACTTCACCATTTTAGTTTACATAGTGTAAGAAGTGCTTTTAAAGACCCCACAAAATATTATTGATCTGAAGTACATTTTTCTTTAATATATTTCTGTTAACAGACACTTCATAAGCCTCATAGTGTAATTTTGTTATTAGTTTTAAGGCAAAAACATAGAGCTTTGCCTCAAAATGTATGAAAAACTTCTCTATGGTTTTGAATGCAGACAAAAAGTGATTTGCATGCCAATGGATTCAGTTTATTCAACAACCAACAAGGATGGAGTCGCTTACTTCATTTCTACAGTAGGTTTATTTTTATCATGCATTATTCCCCGATCTGTTCCTGGATTTGTGGCAACTCCTTTCTTGAAAGGAGATTGAGCTCTACAGCTTCGAAATTGAAAGAAGGAGAGAGAGACAGAGTTTCCCATTGGTGACATTTTCAGTACACAGCAAGAAAACTAGATGTGATGCATTAAAGCATCTTTTGGTAGCTGGAAAAAAACCTGCCAGACCATGTATGTACTCTGATTGGGGCAATCGGATTGGGAAAAACGTTTTCTTTTCTTTTCAGATGGTCCATCTCCCACAGAACCCGTGCCAGTGTATAAACAGGCGAACTTCGACCTCTCCAGCTTTATCGGGGGGATCATCTTGGTGCTGGGGGCTCAGGCGGGCATATTCTTCATCATGAAGTTCGTGAAGTCCAGGGACAGCACCTATGAGACACTGTAAGTTCCCACACTTTTATTTACTATGTTACTATGTATTTATCACAGGTCTAAGGAGCTTCTGCAATGCCTCTGCAGAATCCTGGAACCACAAGTCAATGACAGTCCCCAAACTGTCACAATGTACATTCCCATAAAGGGACCATATCGTAGGGAAAAGAGACATCGGACCCACTCTGCTCATAGGCTGACAGTCAGATGGGATGTACAGCTTTATGGATCCAGAATCACACCCTCCACCACACTCAGACCACCTGGAACACCCAGTCTCTGACACCTGCGCTTGACAAGGGACGCAATTTTATTTTTACAGTCCAAAGTAAACTACTGTATCTGATACAACTGTTAGGGAAACAGAAAAACACTTTCACCAGAACTATAATGACACAAACCACAAAGTAAATGTACTTGGGGTTGTTATGACAACATGTTTATACAGGCTGATCAGGCAGAAAATTAATAGACGTGTTCAGCCATCCATTTCAGTACAAATCACTTCATGCTCCTTTCTCTTGGTACTGTAGGATGCCTGTTAGATGCTCATTCGGAGACCAAGGCAACTGCTTTATAATCTATGTCAGGAAAGATATCGTAATCAACAGATTCTCAGTCTCTGCCAATCATTCACGCATTAATATTGATTAATATGTGTCTTAATGACTGAACTTTAAAGAAAACTCTGTAAAAATATTGTAAGCATACTATGACTTTGGATGGAATATAGAGTTGAAGTTTTAGAAAATAAGTCAAGTGGTACATATAACAACATTTTGAGAGGGTCTGTGAACTTTGAGTTCCATACTATTTACTGCACACCTGAGTGACCAGTCTCCTCTGGAACAAATGAACATTAAACAGGCTTCACCCACAGCTTGAAGCCTGAACCCATTAGATCTCGGAAGCAAAGAAAAGCTGTTCTTCATCATCACCGGGGTTGGAGACAGGTCGCTGGTGGACCAATAGGGGTCACTATTTTCTCTGGACCAAATATTCCAAACCACAGCCCCGGTATATTGACAGGGGACCCTTTACCGTAGGAGGTGACATTCTTCAGATATTATATAATGCTATTTAATATATAATGTGAAACTGGGTCATTAAAGATCCTATTGCCTTGTTTGTACAAGCAGGGGTGTTTTCCCCTGTGGCCTGACTAAATTCCACTCTGGTGTTCCCAGTCTGGCCTCCCTAACTACCACCAGAATTCAATCGATGAGGTAATTTCTCACTCCTCCCCCTGGTATGCTGTGCAGTGGAGCTGCTGGAGCTGAGTGAGTGCCACACGCCACCCACGTAGGAGCTGCGCCTCAGGGATGAACAAAGGGAGAGCCCTCCTGTATTGGAAGCACTCTGGGATCCTTTGGGGGTGAAGAGTGCAACACGGATGCAATTAATTAAAAGAATAATTAAAAAGAAACCAGACTGCTTTGGGGAGAAAAATATAGCGTCTTTTATCCACCAGAGGTCACTGAAGCCTCAGTCTAGCACTCACTGAGGGTGCTAATGACACACATTGTACCATGTGATGTAAACGTGTGGCCCCATGTGGCCTTGATATGACAAAACACATCCACACAAGCAGTCTTGAAAAAACAGTTGTGTGCGCACTTGCTTTGGAAATGTTCCGTCTGATATTCTTGCCAGTGGTAAATACTTTTATGTACAATCTGCTCAATGCGTATGACCATCAGGAAGACCAGCATTTTCTCCAGGTATTTAGATCACGACGGCACTACAGTATATGTCCAGTCAATCCAGAAAGGAAACTGAAGTGTCGGCTTTTTCAGACTCCCATAGAAACTGTTTCCTGAATATGGTTTCCTACATTACATTGAAAAATAAGATTTTCAATTATAAAACTCTAGCTTGAAACCTTTTGCTAACATGGTGGATGAAACTGTACATAATAATGCAGCTCATTTATTATTGTCTCTGTGGAGGATCCTGATCCTGAAACCTTTGCAAAAAAAGTTCATTTTTTGGAAACCTTGAGTGAATTAATTAAATTATTGGAGACTCTCCATGCCTTTAATTGATGAATAACACAAATGATGTCAGCAAGAGAGCCTGTTTACATTAACAGTGCCTACAGAATTCATTGCCGTTCATTAACCTTGTGTTCTCTCCCTTGTTTTTCAACCCTTCCCATGATTCCCCATGCTGGTGCAGTGAGGAGGCGCAGTAGGGTCGGTGAGGCCTAGCCGGAGAAGGAGAGAGACAGGAGAATGGGGACTGTCTTGTCATCACCCGATTTTTAAGAAAACTCATTACCCTTCTCAGTCCTCTTCTTCTCCACATGCATCCCCTGACTATCTGTTGTGTGCTTTGTGACCCATGACGGCTTTCATTATTAATTTGTCTCAGTAATGAGCTGCATAACCTGAAAGCTATAGCCAGTTGCATAAAGCTGCTGAAGTATTAAATAACCTAAGATTGTTAAACTAGGGTATTTTCTTTCAATGTACTTTGCTGCTTTGTGTAACATCCCAAAAACTGAAAGAACATATAATGGCAAAAAAATGAAAAGGAAATTTGACTTAAGGTGTTTTATGCAGCTGGTCAGTGGTCCACATTGCATGCAAAGTACTAAAAATTTCTCCTCCTTTTACAATATTCCTTTACTGGAGCTCTATTGTGTTTCTTCACCTGAAATCACGTTTTTCATTATCCCTAAAGAGAGGAAAACTCAAATGAATTAGTCAGCACCATTTTTGTCTTCAAAACAGAAGAGCTTAGAAGTCCAAACTGTTTGCTGCTTACTATACATCTTGGAGTTTTCTGTTGCACAACCAATTGTGTTAGTCTCAGTGCTTTTCCCTGTCTCGGTGCTTTTCCTGTGTCTTACAGTACAGTCCCAGTTGTGTGTCTTCTGTGTTCTTCTTTGTTTACTTTTTTTAAGACAAAGCATGATTTAGAATCAAAATGTTGGGAAAGTCATACATTTTTAAGGGATCTCATAGACTTTCCTTTTGCCACCAACCTTTCTTCATCAGTGGAGGGTCATCAGTGTGTGTCTCATCCTTCACACAACCAGTACCATCCGTTCCACTGGACATTATTTAGGCCACCTAAAAATCAGGAATTAATTTGTTGCAAATAATAACTCAAATAATACTCAAATCACCTTAAGCTTTGGTATCCCCAGGTCACCTGGGTGCATTTCAACATTTGAAATGAGAGAATCTCCCGGGAGGTGACAGTCTGGGGCTTGGATGCCACTCTTACTCCAGCCTGCATGTGTGGCACCTGAACAAATGTGGATAATTTATCTTTCTGTAAGTGGGAAACAGACATTCAGAACGTGCGCATTTCCACAAGCAACACAAGAAATGAAAACATAAAGAAAGCTGTGTTCGAAGTATACTGTAGATATTTTATTTTTGGGGGGGTTGGTATAACATGTTAAGTCTACTCTTCCTACTGCATGTTATTTGGAAGCAACACCTAAGAGAAGCTGGACTCTTGTGTGGCTCAAGCCTGTTTGAGTAAATGTCTCAGTTTCATTTGACTGCATGGTCCTCTCCTTTCTTTTTCCTCTTTTCCCCTCTGCAGGATCTGAAGTGTGGTGCTGTGTGCTCGGTGTGTAAGCTGGCGTGTCTGTAAATCTTTCTTACCAGGCAAGATCAAATCGCCGGATGGCCCAGAAAAGGGATCATGTCATCCTTTTCCTGTGTCGTGTCACTCTCACAACAAACGGCCAGTGACTCTAACAGCATGTACACAGGATCCAGAAAGTAGGAAGAGTCTGTAGATCGTACACAACGAACAACCCAGGATTCCCTCAGTGCAGTGTTTCCGGACCTGTTTGGAAGCTGTTAATGAAGAAAGGCTGAGCCCTCAGCCTCATCTCTCCTCCTGATTTCTCTCCAGCTGTGTCGTACTGGGAGAGTGCTTTCCTTCTGGATCTGAACTCCTTTGTTGCCACAGGAGCCTAGTGCCTTACCAGCCGAGCACCCTATTTTGGGTGTCACTGAAGGGGGCCCTCCCACTGATGGGCGGCCTTCTGTAGGGTTCACATTGTCACGTAAAGTCATGAATGTTGTAAAATTATTTTCTGTGCCTGCACTTCTTTGTAGCAAACTGAGAAAAAACACAGACTGTAAGGCTTTCTTTACCTGATCACTTCATAAAGTCATATTAAGGCATCCCCAGTAAATAGAAAATATCTGTCTGAGCTTAAAAGATTTAATATTTTGATTTGTGCCTGTTTTCTGTTGTTAAGAATGTTATTTTTGCATCTTTTTGATTAAGATCATACAAACTGTGGCACTAGTCATCTTATGTTGGAATTTTATCTGAACATTCTTTCAAATCTAACTGATTATTATTTTTTACTTTTCAAGGTATGACTTTTCTTGTAGTCATGGAAAATCACAGATTTTCATTTTGCTTGTTATGTGTGAACTCTGGTTTCATCAGAATCTTTAACATGGATGACCCAGACTTAAGACTTCCATGTCTTGGGAAGGCATGGTCAATAGGGATTAAGCATAATCACGGGAAGACAGTTTATCCGAGATCGTGATTTTGATCTTACCCTTTACCTTTTTTGACCTATGGGGAAAGAAATTCTGTGTAGCTCAGGGAATGTTTGACTTGAACTCGCGTCTCCTGGGTAAGGAAGGCACCCAACACATCACTCACTGGGATGATCAACATGGCCTGACCATCTCTTTTTCTCTTAAAAAGTGTGTAATGAATCAGTTAATAGTGGTGCTCATAGGTATATTAGCTGTAAATCAGTGCTGCATAACATTCCTAGAAAAGATCTGAGTCTCTTTTTTATGTCACTTTTAACCATCTGCAGCTTAAGACCTGAAAGAAGGTACTTGTAAGCTAAGTTATTAAGTCGATAATAATCAAGAGCACTGGCCACTATTGCACTTTACTAAAAATGAAGATTATGTATTTATGCAAGACAGCCAAACTCTCAAATGATAGCATTCCATTCAGAAATCACCAAACCTCTTCAAAAGTAAGCAAAACAGTAAGTTCTTAACCTTGCGGCCTTTCAGATATAATATATAAAAGGTATACAATCAGAAATACATTTTGTAGTTTTGATGGATGTCAGTCCACAAATGTTGCTGGTTTTTTTTAAATACACAGCTGAAAGTTGCCTTCAGTCTTGATGTTATTTTTCCAGTTGATCTTATTCTATGAAGATATTTGAGAAATACACACAAAACTCGTTAAATCTGTGACAGTTAAGTGCATTAAGAATAAAGGGGTGTTCTGAGTCTGTGCAGGGAAGAAGGTTGGTTGGTATAGAAATGTAACGTTTTAAAATAAAGATTTACAGACATAGTTTTTCCACATAAAACATTTAAAAGCTATGCTGCCATGCCATTTCTATTAAAGCAGGAACTCCACACAGTGAAGTTTGAAAGTTCCCATGTAGGAAATGGAGAAATCCAGGACATGCCCCTTGTCCTGCGTGGGTCACCCCCACTCTCTCTTGGGATGTGAGCAAGTTAAATCGGATGTTCCTTCTTGAGTAGCTTTGTAACTTTGCAATGGTAACGCACACATTCAGTGAAGTGTACGGTGCTTATGTTTTATCGATTTTCCGTTTTTGCGTTGCTTTCTTTTAAATACAGCTTATAAGACTGGATGGGCATATTTTCAGCCCTAGGGTTCTTAATATATTTTGGGACAGGAAAGTGTTAGAATTGGACCTGCTATAAGATCTGCCATACCTACTGTATGTGCTCTTCTCTAATTTTACATTTGAACGTGTACCATGGCTAATACTGTAGTAGTAGCAGGACGTATGACGCCAAATGCACATGCATAAAGGTACAAGAATCAGAGTCCACACTGCTTTTCTGGCTTTGCTGTTTCTCCCTCCTCTGTCTAAAAACTGCTACTGCCCTTGACCAACCATCTTTTCTAACTGCATCCAATAGAGCGTCAGGGGGGAGCTGGAGCCTATCCTGGCAAGCACCGGGTGTGAGGCCTATACCCTGGATGGGACGCCAGTCCATCACAGGGCACACACAGACACGTACACACCCACACTTGATCACGTGTTAGGGGTATCTGCAAGCAGGCAATGCAGAGGACTGCCGATATGCAAATAATATGTTAAAGCTTTTCATCAGCTCAACAGTGGAACACATTCAGTCTGTAGAGGATGGCTCTAGTGACTAAAAGCAAGCTGTCTTCAGCAGTTTGTATTTGTATTTCTTCACTAAAACTAAAGATTGTGAGTACGGCTACTTGTGGTATCCTATTACAACTGTTTCCTCACATCCACTGTGTGTTTTGCTTTGACTTGTTTTGTTTTTGACTGATTTACTTAAAAACGTAACTTTAAACTACTGTACAACTATTACATTACCTCTGCTTACAGAGAAGTGAGTTGAAGTTTAAACTGATGAAACAGTTTCTATCTCTGTGTTCTACAGATAATTAAATGACATTATATTGGCAAGTTAAAATTCAGTAACTGTATAATAGACACTAAAAAATGTATGGTCAGGCGGGAGGATTAAAGCTGTTTAGTGCATGAGATTTGTGTTTTCTTTCTGTGAGTAATCAATAAAAACATGTACTTTTAACATCTGAACTTGTCTCTAAAGTAATAGCTTTCTCCTGAGCCAGGCTAATAAAGTGCTTCAACTCAAAACAATCAATATTGAGATGTAACTGCTGGAGTCCTCCTCACAAAACCTGTTTATGTAGAGACCACTGTATATTGTTATGAAATATAGAAAATTAAAATCAAAGTCTCCAGTTTGAACACCAGAGAAATTGCTGACAACCAGGGATCTTTAACTAATACCATGATTAACATGATCTGATCTGTTTTGTCATTACTGTTGATTTGCACTCCATGACAAATTTCCATCTACAGTAAGCCTTCAAACCAGGTTTTCTTTGTAAATGCATTTTTTTTCTCCGAAAAAACAACAACATGAACTTAAAACATGTGGCTCAAGATCCCAAAAGGCCAAGCGTGCCCTGCAAGATGAGATTCAACATGCAGTCATGATCTTTTTTTGAAATCTCACTTGTTCAGAACTGCCTTTTCATGTTAGAAATGTTTCCTTGTGTGAAGAGATTTTGCAGCATTTACCCATGACACATATTAATATGATATGTAGCACGACATATCTTCAGAATAGTGGAAAAAAAATTAACAGTCATGAAAAGGTTTAACTGTGGCCCTTCAGGACTGGACTGCAGTCCCACCTGCTTTTTCTTCTACCTACTGTACCTTTGCAGTTTTTAGATTGACACAGTTACTGTCTAGACTGAACAGGTTACTGGTTTTCAGGTGTTCGTTTTACAGGCAGAGACATCACTTTTTTAAATGCACAGTAGCCCTCAGGCACCAGGGTGACTTACACATGACAATTTCCAGATGGCATCGGTCTAATATTTGGTTCAGTGAAAGTCAATGGGTACGTAGTGTTCAATTGGTACAACCATGTAATGTTTGATTTCAGGATTATTCCTTACTGAGACAAGAGGACACTCAGATGCAGGATCCTTAAATCATATTTACATTACTGGGTAATATGTCTTGGTTTCAGTTTTATTTTGTGTTGTGCTGTCTTGCCAGTGTTTAGTTTTGTTATCCTTGTGCAAGTGATGCTTAGAAAAGAAAGGTTACTCTTCTAAACATGTCTGGGAAACATGAACTAAACTGTTCATGAACTGAAATTTTAGATAATGTGATGGAATAACCAGGATATGTAGATCTGGAGTGGTACTATGTTCACACCTAAAGCAATGTCTCACTTGTTATTTCACTTGTGATTAACTCAATCATTTTTCCCTTTTCTCATGGAATTGTCTGTGAATTCATCTTGATGTTGTTTTTTTCCCACTGTTATTGTTTATAAAAAAATGATGACTGCAGTGTTAGGTCTTTAACAGTATGGCTTTCGTATTAATTCAAAGGACATTTTAGAACAGTCTAGGGATTAGCTACAATACTTTTCTCCAGACAACTGAAATGGTTGTGTTTCTCTTGTTGTTTCTCCTGTTGCCATTTCTGTAGTACTGATTACATACAGTACACTACACTCTGACATAGTGTGCTGCCCCAGTACTGGAGAACAACAAATGGCAAAGCAGTGACCCATTCTGCACTGAGCAGTGTTCCCTGGGAACGACAACACGCAAGATCAAAGCGTGATGAACTACTATGGAGCGGATATGGGCTTAACCCTCTTGGCTGAAGGCCGACCTCCTGGCCACAGGACAAGGAGGCCAGGACTCCCCTGCAGGGTAACCAAGGGGTAGCTGCAGAGGTGGAGGTGGGATGCAGAAGACGTACGCGAGGCAGAGTAAAGAATCACGTTGGTATTTATGTTTGGCGGAGGAAAGATGACGGGAGCGATTGCTAATTACTGACAGCTGAGTATGATCGAGCTTTGTTGTTGTCATCCCTTGATTTACTGAAGAATGGCTGAAAATTGCACCATTCTGCTGCACGAAGTTGTTAGAGGCTTATCCAGAACAACTTGGAGGTATCAGTACTGCCAAAATTGCCTCCACCAATGCGTTGACTGAGGCTGATGAAGACTAACACCATTAACATGTTTTGTTTTGTTTTTATTTTTGTTCGCAGTTTATGCTGACATTTTCATAGGCGAAACCAATTAAGTGTTCATTTTAAACATTCAAGTATCAACTAAAATACTCCTTTTAAACAAAGGCGTATAGATGATTTGTAATTCTGCAAAATGGGACATCACTCACAGAGGGTAAACACTTTGCAGCTGATGTGTGTTGTTGCTCATGCCTCCGGAACAGCACTTAAGGCAATAGCAGACCTGGCCAGTGAGCGTTATACTGCCTTGGGGATTTACAAGTAGTAATTGCTTAATAATAGATCAGTATCAGGAGTGAATTTAAGGCAGCAAGGAGACAGTGAACAACTATCCACAACAGAGGTTTGTTGGTTGAGATGTCCACTGGTGTCCACAGACATTTCCAACCAACCACCTCATAGTTATATTTTATCGGGGTCTGTATGTGTAAATATACTGTATGCTGATGTATTTTATTGAAATCGTGTTTTTATTTTGAACCAGTAATAGATTTTAAACAGAGGTTTAAGTCCATATACAGTAATGCCGACTGTACGTATCGTCAGTGTACACACACACAATAGACCATCATCGGGAAGAAGGTAAAATCATAGTTGTCTGATGCCAATAAGGTTAATGTCACCATATACAGTACAAGGTTTCAGATAACAGATTGGAAGGACAATATGTAAATATAACTGAAAACGTTAAACAAAATTAAACCGGCGTCATACCTCCCAATGTGAAGCTGCGATCTTCAAGGCGACATTTAATTCTTGTAATAATTTAAGAGTAAACTTTATTAATACAAATATAACGTGACAAAACAGAATCACTTTCACTTTAAATGCCGCTACGTATACAAAGACATAACGCTGCATCGTTGTATAAACATTATCAATTAATATTTTTTGTCGTTAAAACGATAACCATAGCAGAACATTGTACTTTCAGTAGTAATGATTTATTGTGATATAAAAGATCTGTACGTCTTAGAATCGAGGTATTTTACCATTTTAAATCCATGTCAGGAATATAAAACACAGCAATACAGCAACTTAATTATTTAAGTGAAAGTTTTAACTTCGTAACTTGACACAATTTTCGATCTTTCTCTTCTGTTCTGTCACTTTACATAACAGCCTGTGACGCACGTTCCCTGACAATTACCTAATCCTTCCCCCCCACTACTTGTTGAAGGGATTGACTTTGCTCTCCACCAATCGTATCCCCGCATTTACTCTCGGTGTCCTTTCTCGGCAAACCAGAAAGGGGAAGAGGTGGGACAATAAACCGGTCGCGGGATGCTCCGACAACTGATGACGCAATGGCTATACAAATCGGTGTGTTGACAGGGGATCACTCTGGTCGGATTGGCAAGGGTAGCGTTAATTTTTCCGGGAATATTGTGGAATTCCACAAACTTTCACCTCCTAAATAGACATCGGTGTCAGTGATGGCTGCCCTGTACGCTTGCACGAAATGTAACCAAAGATTCCCATTTGAGGCTCTGTCTCAGGGACAGCAGTTATGCAAGGTAAGGGCCTGAGAAGACCACAGCTCAGACTGTTCTGGGTATCATGAAGTGGGAGGTGGGTTAGTTGATGTGCTGATTTGTAAACGGGACGTCCTGCAAATGAATGACATTGAAAGGCGCGACGGTGTCTTGGATATCCATTCGGTCCTTGTGCTTTTGTTGTCCCGGTTTAGATGAGCTAATCCACAATGTTCTGTACATTTGATATCTTTCTTTAAAGACTGTCACATGCAGACACAGTTCTGTAACCAAATGTGAATTTGGATTTGTGGATTACGATGCCATTATTATTTAAAATATTTAAACGTGAAAGTCGTCTTAATAGAATGATTTTGTAAATCTGTTTAAAAATACAAAGGCCTTCTCTTTTTCGGCACATAAACTGTATACTACAGAACACTCATAGGATGGTTGTTATTGGAAGTGTTAGTGACTCAGTTCCATGTTCCCATTACCTAATGACTCATTTTAATGTATTCCTTTCAAGCGCTTTCAAATCTACTAGAAAGTCTTATGTAATAAAAAAGAATAAACATTATTATATTCTGTCTTTGTGTTAGAAGATGGCAATACAAATTTAGAATAGTATCAATAACATGATTGACAATAACAATGCATAGAATATAAAATATACAATATAGATAACATAGAAAATGTCAATATAATATGTATGTGCTGTAACAATAGATACAATGTATAACACAATATTCAGATGACGGTTCAAATAAAATCTGAATGGATGGACAAACTCTCTTTGCCAGAGTCCAGTCAAGGTTAAGAGTGCTGATTCCCTCATGACCTCTCACTGACTCAGGGGCATAGCCATTGACAGACCCAGGTGTTACCGCTTACTAATCCCTTCTCTGCCTCTCACTTGAGGGCATTTTCCCATCAGGAGGTGGATTTAATTGTCTGGTTCGGTCGGCTCCCGTTTCCATCCTCTCTGACAATGTGCCGTCTCTCACCTCTGCCCATTCTGAGACGCCTGTTCGCGCGGCCACCCCTGCTCTGGCACTGGGGTAACCTGGGGGATGTACAGTATCTCCATATTGCACACTTGTGATGAGTTATTTCATGCCGCCCCACAGAGCCTGGACAGAAACTGCCAGATTAGTTATGCCACCCTCCCAGAACTCTTAGCTGGCAGCCCTGGCCATTATTCTGTCTCAGTTCAAAACTGCCCTTCATGTCATCCTGAAGACCACACTGCCCTCCAGTCTGTCTCCATTTTACGGTATGACTTGTCGAAGACAACTCAGTCTTCACTCAGGTTGGGAGATTGTCAACAGAGATCTTTAATACAATCAGCTGAAGGGGAGCACATCACAGAGATAGGGTTTCCCCTAGCACTCAGGACATGCTCACTGGACTGAAGTTATACTTTCCTTTTTATACATTAAAAGTAGGCAAGACTTTAACATATCAAAGGAACATACAGGGAAAGGGGCAGTGTCAGAAGTCAAACAAACAGGACAGGGATCCTGCAATCTGCTTCATTTCTCTCTGGTTGAATGGGTGTGAGGAATCACAGGCTTTAGTTTGCACCTAAGTCAGTGGTCTTAGGTGCGAACGGAAAACCTTTCCCGCACAAAGTCACTGTCCTGACCTTTTGACTCGGTCTTCCACAGACTCCATCACACAGAGCTCACAAAGTATATAGCGGCAGGTTTGTGTGTCGCCGTAAGAGTTGGATGGTTCTGAAATCTGGGCTCAAACGGCACGTGCTGCATTGACAGTTAACACCTGCCACTTCTTTTTTTGTCCTATGTTGTCCAGGAATGTCGCATCGCACATCCTATGGTCAAGTGCACTTACTGCAGAACAGAGTTTCAGCAGGAAAGGTAGAGATTCTAATCGTTCTTACTGTGAGTTACTTATATGCACAGTTCAGTGTCTGCTTGTCAGCTGTTCCTAAGAAATGTTTATTTTGGATTTTGCCCAATGAGTATACAGTAAATAGGCATTAAAAAAAAATTCAGGTAGGTATTGAAGCTAAAATCATTTGCTGCATTTTCAATGCCTTTCGGTATGTAATGCATGATTTAGTGGAGGTAGCTATCTGTATGCTTGTTTTTCTTTTTAACTGTAGTCGGCTTTCTCATTTTCTTTAAAATTAGGGAAAAAAAACAGAATACAGAAAAACAGAATTAAAACAGATTAAGAGAAATCAGGTCTTTTTAAGTAGTGAATTGAAAAGATCGAGTTCATTAATAAAGCATCACACTCTTATGCACATCTTTTTCATACATTTTTACTCATTTAGAAAACATTATATTATGAGTCTGGAAGGTTTAGAAGTTCAACAAGTCATATACAAATCTGTGGGAAAAAATATCTTTTTGTTTCCAGGATTGTTTTCCATTTTTTGAAAAGCAGATTTTCACTTTCATCATTTTTTTTTCTTTTTCTTCTGTCTAGCAAAACCAACACAATATGTAAGAAATGTGCGCAGAATGTGAAGCTGTATGGCACGGTGAGTTCAGTCGTTGTTTTGAAGAGCATGCAAGAGACGTATTCCTGCAGCAGTGAACAAACCTACAAATGTCAAAAACAGTCTTCTGCTGGCATGGATCGCTCTATGTAAAAAATGTTCCTCTGTAGAATTTCAGGGTCAGATAAATATCTTTTATGCTCTGTTCCCTCTCTGTACAGTCGATGGAAGAACAGTCATGAAAATGCAACTCCTTTGCGCAAACCCATGTAGGCTGTTGAAACCTAGACCTACAGTATCAAGTTTTAATTTTTTAATTAATGACCTGGTTTTAAGTAGTTTCATTAACTGAGCAGACACTGGGCTGCGAATATAAACTGAGACCCATTTCAAAACATGTTTTGAGATGCTGCTGCAATTAGAATATCAAATGCTGCTCCCTGATTTAATTTGATTTATTATAACCTGTCTTCTTGTTCTCCAAATACAGCTTCTGAAACACTAATATGGTCATTCCTCATACCAGAATCTGTCAGACTCCAGGTGTTTCTAAAACCTTCAATTGCAGTTATGCAAGGGAACAGTCTAATTGATTGGTGCTGTTGTAGAGTTTTTTTTTCTTTTGTATTACCAATTGCTGGGAAGTAATACTTTGATAAATGATAGTGTAAGAGCACTTTTCCAACATTCAAAAGGTCTGTCTTAACCTCCTGTTTATTTTTTTTTAACTTTCTGGGCCTATCTCCGTGTCTTTCAGCCCAAGCCCTGTCAGTACTGTAATATCATCGCAGCGTTCATCGGCAACAAATGCCAGCGCTGCACAAACTCGGAGAAGAAGTACGGCCCTCCGCACACATGTGAACAGTGCAAGCAGCAGTGTGCTTTTGACCGTAAAGATGACAGGAGAAAGGTACTTGCAGGGGATCACTGGGATAGCAAAGATGACCACTAGCTCCTAAAACTACAGCACTAGGAGGAGGTATTGTGATAACAGAAACCCAAGCAGTCACTTATTTCTCTTGACTCTGGTTGCCTTCGGCAGTGGGGGAGCTGTAGCCTATTCCTGGCAAACAACAGGCCCAAGGCAGGGTACACCCTGGACAGGACTCCAGTCCATCTCCGATCAAACACCAATGCAGACACGCACACACTCACACCTAGGGTCAATTTTCCCAGAAGACAATTAACCTACCGGTATGTTTCCGGCTTCATCAGGACAACATACAAACTCCACAACAGATTGAACCCTGGACCCCAGCGCTGTGAGGCAGCAAAACTAACCACTGCGCCGCCATGCTGCCCCTTTCTAGAAGTTCTTTGTTTTCCTTTGTCCAATTTTACATCTCATTTAAGAACTTAAACAGTTATGAGAGTGACCTAAAGCAGTGTCGTCCAAATCCTGTACTGTTACCATTGTGCTAAATAATCATTCCGGTACAAATAACAGTCTGTGCCTGAGCACATCTCTCTGGTAGCAGAAACCAGCCTGGACAGGGACTCAGCCCCCTTCCTTACCTAGCTTGTTCTGTATTGATTGTTCTAAATTATTTTAGCGGAATGTGAGAGGCTTAGGCTGCTGCTGGGGAAGTAGGTAGACCTTTAGGGGTTTGTTTGAAAGAGATTCTAGGATTGACATGGTGCAAACCAATATGCTCTAAATATCCCCTTTTCTTGAATTTACTTATGTGAATAAAATTTGAATTAATTAGCAAGAGCTACTGCACGGTAAGTGCTCATTCCCTCATATTGTGCATTCCAGGTCTGTATCGGTCCGTGAAAGTGTCGTCCAATGTTTTTTGGTGTCCAGGTAGATGAGAAGCTGCTGTGCTGGCTCTGCACTCTGTCTTACAAGCGAGTCCTCCAAAAAACCAAAGAGCAGCGCAAGCACCTGAGCTCCTCTTCCCACTCCAGCTTGCCAGAGAAGGAGCAGTTTACTCGCCTCAGCAGCAGTAGCCACTATAACAGGTAGCGCCCCCTGCTGGCCAGTTCCTCCCCCTGATGTGTTTTATCATACAGTAACTTCATCATAGGCATGGATCAAGCATGAAGTGTAGCACAGGAGTGTCAGACATCTAACGGTTTCCTTTTCTTTTTTAAAAAAATGCTAAAACTGCATTTTTAGACTTTTCAGTCAGGCTTTATTTCCTTATATTAATACAGCAATAAGTGTATCACACCAAATAAGTAGGATCATAGGGTTAAAATGAGGTGAGCTAGTCTAGCATTTTTGTGAAAATATAAGAGATTTGTTATGCCTGTTGAATACCTCACCCAAAATATAAGGGACATAGTTTTAAAATTGCCTTATAGACACATTCCTTTGCTAAATTTTGAGCTTTGATTGCTTGTACTTAGATCTTTGATAAAAGTAGAAAGTTCAAAGCTTTAAGTCAGAATGATTTCCTTTTCTGTGCTAAATATTTCTGTCTGATGTTTTCTGTTGATTTTTTTTGCAGTCAGAAAACCTTGTCCACTTCTTCCATTCAAAATGAAATCCCCAAGAAAAAGCCCAAGTTTGACGCCATTTCAAGTAATGGTGACAGGTGAGAAAAACCTGGGAGATCTGTGGTCTGTGATATGATGTACACCAGTGACAGCATTCCTTCAGTAACCTGGGACAAGTGGAGTGAAACAACCAAGCTTTTGGCTTCAGTGCAAAATACAGTGCCTAGTTTGAACTTTAGCACAGTATGTAAAATGATCTGTTAAACAACTGTGAATTTTCTCCTTAGTTTAAGGGATGATAACTATATTTATTAACATGTACCTGTACATTGCTCTGTTTCAGTCCATAAATGGGCTGGTTTTGTGAAAGGAGTTCCCAACTCCAGGCCAGGACAACCACTTGTGTTTAATTACTCAAATTAAGCCCATAATGACTTCTTTCAGATCATTAAGGTTAATTACATTGTTCAATTACAACAGACTGTGGTCCTTCTGGACTGGATCTGAGAGTCCTTTAAAATCGCTGTGATCCAGCAGTGAGCTGCAGCAGAGGGCGCCAGGTTCCCACTGTGAACTGCCTGTACAGATGAACTAAGAGTAGCCATTTCTGTGAACAAGGTGATGAGTACCTATAAGTCAAGAAACTAATGATACCAGCTAGAACTTCTTGAACAAATTTTTCTGTGCATCAGATTTCAGTTCTAGGTAAATTTGTAGCTGGGTGAGATTTTTATCCCAAAAGCCTTATAGGTGGTATGTTAATATGCCAGTTTGTATTAATATGCACTACTTCTGATACAGGGTGTAGTCCTGTTTCTTCCATGAAAAAAATGACATTTTTTTCCAAATCTTTGTCTGTTTGTGGGTTAGTGCCTTCAATAGAAGAAATAGATAGTACTGTAAGTCATCGTCTGGTAGAACCCAAGGCAACCGCAACAACCACAAACTGACCAGAAACAAAGTTTTTCAATCATGTTCATGCTAACCTATTAAGATGCAGACATGCTTTAAAACTTCCTTGGAATATTGTTTTACTCGTATTGTTTGGAAATTCGAGGATACAAACCCAAGCACAATCTCCTAGGCTCACCACACACAGCACACTGACTGTACTTTTCCTTCTGAAAATACAAACCCTTCTTTGCAACTGTCATTATGTCTTCATCAGCCCGTTATGTGGCCACCAAGATAGTGACTGTACTGAGGCAGCACATGCCTAATCAGTTCTGTATTTACCCTTTGATGAAAAGAAATATTGTGCATTATGAAGAATCTGATTGTATCCCAAGCATGTCTGAGTAAAGTGTTATGATACAACTTTAGGTGTGATTTGTCAGACATCCTTGTGTTTGATAGTACTCAAGCAAACAATTTTCTTTTCAGTGTATCTTTTTTTTTCTCTTGAAGTTTTTCTCCGGACCTGGCTCTCGACTCGCCTGGCACAGATCACTTTGTGATCATCACTCAGCTGAAGGAGGAGGTGGCCACTCTCAAGAAGATGCTCCACCAGAAGGACCAGCTGATCTTGGAGAAGGAGAAGAAGGTCAGTTGGGCTCCACCCCTGTGTGGCACTCTCGGCTCCCCCAGCATCTAACTGGGATCCTCCCAATAGCCAGCTGCACTATTCAGTTACAACCAGGCCTTACTTTCATTTGCATTTCAAATTGAATTTGTTATACTGCTTGCCACACACTTTTATCCTTATTCAGAAACAAATTTCAGATCTACTGAGAGGTCGCAGTGCAGATCAGAGGTGCACACACTAAGTGGTGGGGTCCTATATTAGCAGTATTTTAGCAAACACTTGAAATAGTAACAACATGTCTGGAACATTTAAAATCATCTGCCCGGTTCTGTGCACACTGCCTCAGTGTTGTTGTCATCGCCACTAGGTTTTGTCAGTATGCGGCTCTTCAGCAGATCTTTCAGCTCCCAGAAAGTTGTTTCAGGACAGACAGTACACAGGACTGATAGTACACTTGATCAATAATGAAACCACCTTTGTCCAATTGACATTGATTTCTTTTTAAATTACCATTCAAACATGTCAGAAAGTTGCCAAAAACACCAATTAAATAGGAAATCCGATTAGTACCATCACTTAATAATGAACTTCACACAGCTTTCGAAAACGTGCAAATCAAAACTAAAGCGTGGTTTGTTGATTCACACTGGCTTTACCATTTGGAAATCCTCTCCTACCCAACGCTGTCTGTGTTGCTTCACAGATCACAGAGCTGAAAGCAGAATTCCAGTACCAGGAGAACCAGATGAGGGCCAAGATGAATCAGATGGAGAAGGCACACAAGGATGTTGTGGAGCAGCTACAGGTGAGTGCAGATGTGTGCTGTAGCCGTCTGGTTTGCATGATGCAATCGCGATTCACTGCTGCTTAGCAATAGCAGGTTGTCTTCTGGATTGCTGCATAACCTATGCTGTCATTTTAATGTTTTATCTGTCATTTGCAAGTTGTAATTTTCTGAGACCACAACAGTAACAAAACAACTGTTTTATTTTTTCCTAATAAACCACATAAATTATGCCAGAACATTGCTGCTACTTGTCATTGGTTAAAGTAATCAGGTTTCTTCAACCCTTGAAATTTTAAGTGAGCTTTTGTCTTTGTCTTTTGAGCTGTGTGTTTTGTTGTCAGTCCCTTTACATCTACTGGTCAGTTCATCACAAGGGTAATTGCATTTACTAATGGAGATCCTAATAACGCCATTCAAATGTGCCATCTTTTGGCTGAATGTACTGCTTGTATTTCATTTTTCATCCTATTGAATCTTGAAGATAATTTATTCATGATAAATGACACAGAAAAAGTTAAACCACAGAGCACACCAGTGCAAATTAGATGCAGATTCATTCAAGTCTGAAAACCTACACTCACCTGGGCTTCTGGAATAACTTACACAAGAGTATGATTTTAAGGCTGTCTCCCATATGCTGGTAACTGAACCCGCAAAACCTAGGTTAAAAGGTCACTGCTGCACTCCCCCAGATACAACTTGCAAAAGATACAAGTCCAGCCTTTCAACAGCTTTCATCTTTTTCTCTTTTAGAAATGTGGAGCTGTAGTCACCAGGTCTCGTTGTGTTTTGCTTTGACCATGAGGTTCCTCTAAAATATCTTGATGCAGTGAGGAGGGTGATGTTCAAGGAAGGAATATCCTTTCTCTCATAGCTGAAAGATTTTTTTTGTATGTGTCCATTTACTCAGGCCAGGAACAGGGAGCTGATGAAGCAGGTGTCTGCCCTGTCCAAGGGTAAGAAATTGGAGAAGCCGGGAGCCATGACCTCCCCATGAGGAGAGAGCACTGTCAGGAGAGCAGGGTAAAACCTGGCAGTTTGTGATACTGTTGTACACAACTCTTAAAGAGTTTGCATGCCTAATTGACTTCAGTGGGCTTTATTTTATAATCCTCTTTTTAATGTAAAGCAATATTGAACGTTGATTTCAACTACTTTGTGTGATCAATAATGATGAGGGTTGACTGGAAACTGATTATTTTCAGAATATGGAAATACAGTAGTCTAAGTAAATGGTCTAGCAGGAAGCCACATCTAGTGCATTGGCTATAAAAATAAAAGTAAAGGTTAATTCCACACTGAAAAGTAAAAAGGAGCAACACAGTGTTCCAGTTCACATTGGAGAAGCCTTCTTCAGATTTGAGCATACAGTACCTTCTTCATGAATTAGACTTGTTCCTTTGTTATCCAGTAAGAATGATGGAACACCTTTGTCTGACTGTGTTCAGAGGCACTGTGTGCCTTCATCTCTTCATTTCTATACTGAAATGTGTCAGTCTTGAAACTGCATTGTCACATACAGCTCGATACATTTGTTCAAAATATTACGACAGGCCCCCTTATTTAAAATCTCTCGCACTAAAGGACTCGGCATGGCCAAGAGCTGTGTTCAGGAATTGTCCCAAGGCACATTGAAGTCAATTGGGGAGAATGATTCAGTTTTTTATAGATAATAGTGTATTAAGTGGAGCCCGCAGGTGTTGACTTATTTTTAAGGCAGCTGGTCATTTAATGACCCATAAAAGAACAGCTCAATGTCACGATGGCTTTTAGAACAAGAATTACCATAGGCAAGGCCTACTGTTCCCTTACTGATACTCATTGTACATTACTCACCTTGTAGCTAATGATCTGCCATAAGACCAGCTAGACGTCCCTTTGAAAATAGTACCATTAATTAAATCACATACAACTTCGGCTTACTGTACATGTGTTAGGTAAAAGCTAGAGCATGCTGTGGTCACATTACCATACCCTGTTTAGTGTGGTATTTAACTACAGATTACACTGTATGAAAAAAACAGTATTTTTTCCATCATATGTAAACATCAGGACATTTTTGCATTAATGAGGGACTACTCTTTGTTCAAGAGACACATGAACATCTGTGCTGTATGTAACTTTCTTATAGCTTTCCCACTGCAACACTACAGCTGTAGTGTTGAGAAGTTGTCTGTCACACATTGTCCTGTCTAAAATTAATAATTCTGTTACTTTTACAGGATAGTGCACAGCATATAGATTTCATGCGTCAGTGAGATAACTTAGTCTGCTGTACAGCAGATGTCATTGAAAATATTTAGCATTACTAATAGACCGTACAATGAATTGAATTAATTGATTCAAATTTAGGCTTCAGTCACAGAAATAATTCTCACATTTTCATGCTGAACTAGATATATTTGAAATGTTTTGTGGCAAATAGTGTTCTATTTTTCAATTTTAAAATGATTAAATAACTGTTTTATTCTTATTTAACAGTTCTTAGTTTTACATTTTGTGATTCCTACATTTTTGGAAGAGGTTAAATTATTTGCAGATTTTAAGAAAGTTACAGGCTAGTGTGGCAGACGACATTTCTAATAGCCTTCGAGTAACAATTTGAAAAATGTTGGAATTTTTGTAACTAGACCAATTTGCTGTCAATATATTTTTAATGGATGTATTATAAAAACAACAATTTAATATGCTTATGATTTTTTTTTATTTTGGTGTGTGTTGCAGGTATAATGTGTATTGTTAAGCATGGTTGTTATTTTTCTTGAGGATAATTACATACGGAATTTGTTACATATGCAGTATGTAGAAAAAAGGATAAGGCAAAAGTTTTGATTATAACTACCAGTATCCATATGAGGTATCAATCTTAAGATGTTTTATAAAATCAATCACAGTAAGATTAGTCTTTTCTATTTACAAAACAGCCAATTAAATTCCTTTCCATCTTTTGTAAGTCTTGAAAAAGCTTCTGAATTGAAAAAAACTTTGTGTAAAAAAATGTAATTTAAAGACATTATCAGGAAGATTCTGGATGCTGCTTGTTTTCTGTTTTTTTTGTTTTAGAGTGATTAATCAGCCTTAAAGGGTTTAATTTTTCAAAGCCATTCCCATATTTAATCAAGTGCCGATATCTGTTTTTGATTCATAACTTAAACAGGTATCCAGATGGTTTCTGCTTTTGGGATTCCAATTACCTGTTTGATTAAGACGAAGAAATTTTGTGTAATTAACTCATTATAATTCTGTATTATAAGATTGTTATCATAATGTGACAAGTACAAATCGGTATTACAGTATGTCAATATACAGTACTATAGCTATGAAGGTTTGCAGTACAAACTGAAGTGTATGAGGGAGAGTTCAAGGACATAAAGAAAGCTTTGAAGCACCAACATCTTTTGAAGTTCACTGTATATTCCCACAGAACAACATTTCCTAGGTCAAGTAATGATGTTCTGTTTTCACATCATGGGATATCTTTCCCTTTCCCCGACTGGAATTGTAAATGGAAACCCGACTGCTCTCATAATTTAATTGTTTATCTGCGTGGTTAAACACTGGTAACCAAGCTTGATTCAGGGGTAACCTGCTTTAAAGTTGTGTAGATAATCTTTTTTTTTAATTCAAAGATTTGCTGTTTGCTGCTATAGTAGTGTTGCCACTGCTTTCCTGGATTCAGGTTTGCTGACACTAGGTCTGTTTGCAATCCATTCTTTTTCTTGAAACCTCAGTAGCAGTAGCCTATATAGCAGTTCTTTGTACAGTGTTTTACAAGCCTTTAAAGCATTCAGGCATCTTTAGCTTATGCATGGTGACAGCACACTTCACATTCCAGCCCTGTACTCGTTTCAGAAGATGTGGTTTGATCGTTGATAGTAACTGGCGGTTACTGTACAAGTGTGGGAGAAGGTGTCACAGGCTGGGACAAGTAAGAGCACAGTCTGTCCAAGAAGAAAAGAATGGGTCTCATTTGTTTAATCCTTGTTTAAATCTCAAAACTCCTTTCCCCTTAAGACTGTTTATAATAGTTCTGTAAAAATGACCTACAGTATCTGAAATGAGTGAGGTTCTTCACAGTGACTTTGGGAAATCATTTTAACTTTGACCTGTACACATTTGTTTCACCATGCTTCCCCTGAGGTTTATTCTCCTATAAAATCTACTGTTGTGTTATTCTATTCTTTGCTTTTTGATGAATGAAAAAAATCATTTTCCCGTTAACATCAAGAGGTCACAGTGGTACAGACTATAGAGCAAAGCTTCAGATCCACACCAAAGCTTCAGACTGGTTGCAGCCTGCAGTGCAGTGTGACATGGTATCGGCTTTTAGCTGTGACTCAGTCTCAGTGGCCACGTCAAAAATCTGGAAATAGTAATAATAGGATTTTTTATGCAAAGAATGTCAAGTTGAGAGTATAGAAGCACAATACCGCTATTAAAAACAAACTGGAAAAGAGGTGTGCGCCCATCAGGACTACAGTAAATAACAGACCTTCTGTTGGAAGAGTACCAGCCACAGGTGTACCAGATGTATGTTTTTTATTTAGAATTCTGGACAGCTGATAAAAAAAAAATATTTTGTAATTTCTCCTTTATCTTGCATGGATCTCAGGTCTGAAAAATGTGTCAACCGTGATATGATATTTCTTGTAATAAATGTTATGTAAAGTCTTTTGTAAAAAAAACAAATGGCTGCTCTCTAAGAAAAATTGTTCCAGCGGGGAACGAAGCATTGAATTTTCATGAACTACATATGTCCTCTGTACTTTACAACAGCCTACGTTGCACAAAAGCCCGGGTAGGCAAAAGGTGCTATTACATGTATGTATATACTGCCATTTCCTGTGTTTAATAAAGTACTTTTATGCTCATGTTATGAGAGTGGGTTTGCATTTTAATGATATTTGAACTGGTGATCTGGCATCCCTCTGTTTCAGCACGTAAATGATACACAGTAATACAACTGAAGCTCCTTGGGCCCATAACATCAATAGACAACGTTACCAGTATTTAGCTTGATATCTCCTCACATCAGAAGCTTAGCAAGGTTGGGTCTTGTCAGTACTCAGATGGAAGACCTGCAAGGAAGAAGTTGCAGCTATAAGTGGTGGTGGTGTACCAGTATGCAACATGCTTCCCTCTGAACCAATGCTCTAGTATGGTGACAGGTCACAGAAGAGGAACAGTCTTTTGAGTGAGGCGTTAAAATGAGGTACCTGTACTGACTACAAGGTCATGCCACTGTTCATAGGTGTAGATGTGTTTAACAAATGTCCTAGCTAAATTCCACTCAAGAAAGTGAGTTTCTGTTGCTTTATAATAAACTAACAGGGGGATTGATGTTTTTTGCTCTAAAAGAACTCTAAATCCTAACATACTGAACATATGATGATACCAGATAGACCAGAGGCAATATGTGTAAAATATTATGTTTTTTTTTTTTTAAATGTAGCTTTGGAAGTTTAAATAAACTCAAATAGGGAGAGAAACACATTTTGCACTGGAATAAAATGTTTTGAAAGTTTTCCTGTTAATGTTTTACCATTTTAAAAAGGCGATTGATAGAACACCTAGTATTTATTCTACCACCAACTGTATATGTGCATAGAAAGTTTTTGTAGTTTGCTTGTTGTTCTTTCACTGTATTACAACTGAAAGTTCCATTTTATATTTTCTGTGCTATGACAGTAAAATTCAATACTCATGACACTGCCAACCTGTTATTCTTGTTATGAGTTTACAGTCTGTGGGAGGGCCAGAAATAGCTTAGCCTGGCTGACACTATGGGCAGGAAATTGAGCCAAAGGTCTCGAGACTGCATGAGCAGACTTGTACAGTAAGTAACAATCGGCTTCGGATGCATATGCTGTGACCCCCTTTTCATACAGGCAGAACTGCTTTTATTATCTCCTCTTCCCTAGAAACCACTGTCTCTGCTGTATTTTGATACAAAATAGAATCGTCTGACTTGTTTGTCTTAGTCATGCTGATCAACAGTTTTGTGCACTAGAGTAACTCCATCCTGTTATTTTAGCTCAATATGTTCAGATGTCCCACTTAGCAGTGGTTGGCATTACGGCCTCACGGTGCTGGGGCTTGATCTGGAGTGCTTTCTGTGTGGAGTTTGCATGTTCACCATGTGTTCTCCCTATGTTTCTGTGAGTTTCCTCTGGGTGCTCTGATTTCCACCCAGTCCAAAAACATACTGGTTGAGTAACTGGCTCTAAGGAAAATTGGTCCTGGCGTGAATGTGTGTGGGTGTTTGTGTCTATGTGTGCCCTGCAAGGGACTGGCATCCCATTCAGGGTGTATCCTGCCTTCCACCAGTTGCTTGGCGTGACAGGCACTAGCTCCGTTGCGACCCTGAATTGGATGAAGAGGTTTGAAGATGGATGGGACTGATGAATTTCTGACTAGTGAGAAAATTGGTCGTGATGTGTATCCTGACTTGCATCTTTTGCTTTGCTAGGATAGACCATAACTCTATTCACCTAACCCTACTCTGTCCTGAAATGCCAGCGTTTTTTTATCTGAAAATTTACCTAAAGAAGATACGGTAAATTTCCAAGAGCGTTTTTCAGTGGTTTTAATGCTTTTAGACATATATTTATTGATTTGAGTAACATTTTCAAATCTGCAGGATTTGGTTAGGGGTAGCATTCCCACAGAACTTACACATATTTTACGATCACCGCTGAATTTGGGGGCTTAGGTGAAATTAAGGACGACTGATAATTTGATCCTATCTTCAAAGATTTTTGCCTGCTCATATTGTTTATTACAGTGTTCGGTATCTATTCCAAAAGTGAGTCAAATATAAAGTTGTAAGAAAACATTTTGTTGTTTAAAATGCAACTAAAATTATAACTCCAGTCAACATTAAATAGTTCTTGTAACCCTAACCCTACTCTGGCTTAAAATGCACAATTGTTTAAATACTATTGTAATAGCGTTTTTCAGCTGATTGAAAATTTGCCTAAAGAAGATACAGTCTTCAAGAAGAAACATTTCCACAAGCTTTTTTCTGTGGTTTTGATTATTTTTTCTAATATTTATTGGTTTGAGGAACATTTTCCAATCTGTTGATTTGAGGGCTTCAGAGACAGATTACAGAATTGCTAACTCGGACCCTGGCTAGGGTTAGGGTTAGCATTCGTACACTACATACACATTTTTTATGCTCAGTGCTGATAATTTGCTCTTCTTTTTTTGGAGAGTTTTGGCTACTCATGTTGTACAGTGTTCAGTAAGTGTATTGCAATGGTGACCCAGATCAAAAGTTGTAAAAAAACTTGTTCTACTGTTTAAACTCTCTTAATTTTGTCAAAGTGCAAATAAATGTTTAACTGCTGTCAACTTTTAAGGGGTTCTTGTTACCCTAACCCTAATCTAGCCTGAAATGCACAATCATCTTGAAGACCATTTTTAGTGTTTCACAGCTGATTGAAAAATGTGTCTAAAGGAGTCTTAAAGATGATAAATTTCCAAGAGCTTTTTTCAGTAGTTTTGATTTTTTCCTCATATCTGTTGGTTTCTGAAACATTTTAAAATCTAATAATTTGAGGGCTTTAGAGACAGATTGCAGATTTGCTCATTCTAAACCCTGGCTTGGGTTAGGGATAGGGCAGGAAAAGTGTTGTTTCTCTATTTGTTTCACAGATTAATTTGGCCCAGTTTTAATTTTGCCCCCTTTTGTCAACTGTTGATTAAGACTTTTGAGGATTAGATCATTTCAATTCAAGATTATACAGTGTTGGTTGTTTTCAGCCTGCATATTCTCGAGATTCAAGTAAGTGTAACTCTTTTTTATTGGGTGTCCAACCCAGACAAAGCAAACAGGAATGCATGTGCAAATGAGGAGTTGTATTTGGCTTTATAGAAGACCTGTTGTATGCAACTACTTGACAAGGCCTTCATGTCAAGAGTGACACATTCTCACAGTGGATGGTGCACATATTCTATTGTAAATGTTTCTACATTAAAGAAGAAACAATCTTGTACCATATTCATAGGTTCACAAAAGTATTGGTAAGATATTGTTAATAAATGTTCTATGCAAACTAACATGATTTACTCAGAATAAGCAATAAATACAAAACAAAACAGTAGGAGCTTTCTTCGAGACCCTGTAGAATCACTAAGAACATACTGTACACAGCAGTGTGTGAAATAAGCCAACTACAGGGAAAATGACCAGATTTATTGTAATCTATCCCTTTAAGGGGTTCTACGAGAGATATCCTGCAGAGGCATTCCTCAGGGCAGCATGTGATAAGGAAAGGCAGAGAGCTGATTTTTCTAGGCTAGCTATCAGACCCCAGGAATGCACAGGAGCAGGGCTGGGATCAAGTGACTCCATCCAGGGGTATAAATAGAGCCTGACGCTGGGTGATAGGCAAAACTCTCCACATGCCTGCAATGATTCGGAAAGACAGAGGAGTTATAACAAAAAGGAGCTTCTTTCTTTTCCCGGAAAAGAGTGTGAATAAAGGCCAAGAAGCTGTTTAAACAACTATAAATCTAAGGACATGGATTTCCAATCGAGCATCATCCAGGAGTCCAACAGGATGGAGAACCTGGAGAAGCAGTTGATCTGCCCCATTTGCCTGGAGATCTTCTCCAAGCCTGTGGTCATTCTGCCTTGCCAACACAACCTGTGTCGAAAATGTGCCAATGATGTGTTTCAGGTGAGCTATGTACCTCAGTGCTTGGAGACCAGAATTTCAGTCTTTGCAGTAAGAATGTAGAGAAACATCAATTTCTAGTCACTTATTTTTATTTACTCATGCTGTTGCTCAAACTTTCTGCTACCTAGCTATGCATCTATCCTGTGAAAATTATTTGTCAGGAAAAGGTGATTTAAATACTGAAATCAGAACCCAGTGTAATTCCATGCAATGGTTTAATCTATTATTTCTAACATTAAGGACACACTTTAATTTAGCTCTTAAGGAATCTTTTTCATGCAGAAGAAGACGAGTCAAAGTTTCAATTACTGGCTTGGGTAGTTCGTTCTATTTGTCCAAAGGCTGTCTGCAAAAACTGGACAATGCAAGAAGCAGATTTTTTTATGTGGTCATTTGTAAGATTGGCAATGCGGGTCATAGCCACCAAAATAGAACCAGAATTCTCATGCAAAGTAATTCCAGGATTGCCTTAGAGAAAGATAGTCTAGCCTTTGGCTTGCCAAACGTGTTACCATTCACGCTGAACAGAACGCAAAGGTTGTCTTAGGATACAGTGTGCTTTGTTTCTGTAGTCTTTCAGCTAGAATAATAAAATGACTGATGTCCTGGAATGAGCCATTCACCTTATCCATGGAAGGACAAGAGACTAGGTGGAGAGAACAAAAGCTGTTAAAGCAGGTCATCAAGGACTACATGGGTCTATTTCTGTGGTGTGTTGAAATGTCTTGTTTGATTTAATATTGTATCTGCTTTTCCATGAATAGTTCTATTTGAGAAAAAGTTTAAGATTTTAATTGAGGGTATGATATAAGCAACAGAAGACATATTGGAGCTGATTTATAGCTAATATTCATGTAAGATCTTGCATGTAAAAATGCAATGCTGTTATGTCGCAGGCACTCCAATCAGTTGAAATACACATTGTTCCCACAATTGTTGTTTTAAAATCAGTCTCATCTTCTCCCCTTAAGATGCTTGTGTAAACCTGACCATGTAAAACAAGCTGGCTTTCAATTTGAAATCCACACTTATATGATTTATATTCAGCATCTCAGTTTTTTAGTCCAGTTCATAGTGACATGACAAATGCAAAGGATTACAGAGTTATACCATAAATCAAACATAGGTTTTCCTTTTGATGTTTTAAAGACCTAAACAGCATAATCAGTTAAGCTCTCATTATAACAGATAGTTACTGTACAGTTTTTGGGAAAAGGTTGCAAAGATAGTAAGATTAGTATAAGCTATCAAAGGTAGTATCTAGCTAGTATTAGCTATAAATAAGGATAATTAAATAAGTATTAGCTATAAATAAGCTATAAATGGCTGTTTATAATGGGAAATACCTTATGATACTGACCAAGGTTTGACTACTACAGTGTCAGCGCTATCAATACTCTAATCAGTATTGCATATAAGACAAAAATAAAAATAATAAACTTCTGTATTCACTAATTTATTTTTTTTATTTGAACATACTCTACAGTTAGAGTTAGATTTGAATTTAGAATGTTTTGTTCATTCATAAAGAGATCTTGAAAGGTGGTATATAAAAACAGATTATGGCAGAATGACTGACTTTCCCAGTGTTTTTCTGGGCTTGTGGTCACATTAACCCCAAGCATTTCTATTAACCCAAAAATAGAACGCTGGTATGCTTACAGTAAGCTTGTAAACACTTGCTGTTTGCTGCAGATGGAGGGAGTAGATCACTTTGCTGGCTGTAGCCACTGTAGCAATTGACTCCCACTGGGAGGAGTGGTGACAGTACCAAGCCCTGAGAAGAGCTCCTTGTACACAGCTGACTTAAAGTGGGGTAGCACATTGACAGACGAGCATAGCGCAAGGCGCCTATTAAAATTGCTGTGCCTATTAAAATTCAGTGTTAACCTGCTTTGTGTCTCTCAGCATCATGACATGATCCATTTTCAGTGTTCATCTACAGCAACCATGGTTGTAACTCAGAGCCAGAACCACCAAGTTTATTTTTAATAATGATAATAATGGAATTTTATTTGTGATCCCTTTCCAAGAAACTAGAAGTGTTGTTAATTAACAACAGAGTCCCATTCTTTGTGTAGAAACCAGTGACTGGAGAAACAGAAGGATATTGGGACTGCAGTGCCTTACCATTAGAACGTCCCTTGACATACTAAATATTCTAATGAGACACACCTTGCCTGTGCCTGCCAGCAAGTATCGGCAATGGGACCACTTTGCCTTGACATTTAATGCCCACGAGATGCTCCCCTACTGGCTTGCTGATTCCACATTTTTGGTTGTTCCAGGCTGCAAACCCGTACTGGACGTCCCGTGGTACTAATATTTCGGGAGGCCGTTTCCGGTGTCCATCATGTCGTCACGAGGTGGTCCTGGACCGGCACGGGGTCTACGGGCTGCAGAGGAATCTGCTGGTGGAGAACATCATCGACATCTACAAACAGGAGAGCAGCAGGTCAGAGCAACAGCTGCAGAGAATGGCTTGCCACTGTGCAGTGTGACCACACGCACGGTGTTTACAGTACAGCATGGTAGGACTGATTCTGCTGCTGCAGGACAACATTAACATCTACAAGGAACTGCTAAGTAAGAAGGCGGACACACAACGCAGTCACGGTACAGTACGAAGTACACCTACATGTAGAACAACCAAGAAAAATCCAATTGTGGTGAATATAGCTGACATTCTCATTACAGCAGCAAAGTACAGGCCAACGTATGAGTGCTGCTTTTGTTAGCTCTGTTCTATCAGGAATGTGGGGTGTTTAAGGCTTTGCTCCATTTGGTTTCTGAATGCGTGGACCAGAGAACCTGCTGAATTGATCCTAATGATGAAATGTTGCAAGTCTGTAAAAACGGATGACCAAAAGTGACTGATTAATTTTGCTAAACAGAAGATAGCCACCTCTGTTGTATATAATAAAACAAAGTCTACAGAAGAATAATAGACCTGTAATATTACTAGCAGTTGGTCATGCCATGACAGTTTAATGATCCTCTGTTGACTATCACTCCTCCAGACTTGGCTATAGTTTGTCTCCCAGCTCTCTCAGTCTGTATATCAGTCTCCATCAAGTTGTTGTGTCTAAGGCTTGTCTCTGTTATTCTGGCAATTTTTAATAAAGAGTGCTTGAGAGAAACTGGGAGAGGAGAGCAAGTGACAGCAGGTCGATGCAGTGTCAGATTACACCAAGGTCCTTGCAGCTTGGTGATATTTAAAGCAGGGCCTTAAAAGGAGCAAGCCTGGATTAACCTGCAACTCAGCTGTACAACAGCAAAGACAGACCCTGAAATTCAACCATAACAGCAGTGTTTAAATACAGCACACAGTGTATTCACAGAGCTGGTCTAAAACGTCTGCAAACTACTGCAAAAAATGATGAGCAAAATAGAAAATCCTCTTTTGCTCATCATCTTTTTGCAGTAGTTTGCAGAAGTGTTATCTGGATTGTATTGTTTTCAAAATCTAGATTTATTTTCCTACCAGCTCTGTGTGTTAATTTTTAATGGAAATAAATTTGAATTAATGTGTGTACGTAAATGGCACTGCACGGTTGCTTCTCTATTCTAGACTCCTGAGTTTGAATAAGACTGCATGCAGTTTGTGAGTTCTCCCCATATTTGCGTGAATTTTCTCCTGGCACCCCAGTTTCCAGCCACAATCCAAACATCTGCTATTCAATTTTATTGGCATCTCTAAATTGCTCCTCTAACGAAACAGTCATAGCTGATTAATTCATAAAGTTCAGAATTAAAAGCTACTTCTTGCTTACTCTTACCCCAAGTCTGTACTGTTTGCTTGATTTTGTAGGTGTGTCTGATCTAATTTGCCTATGTCTAAGATTGTCTCCCCTATCTCCCTCAGCCCCAGGCCACTGAAGAAAGTAGACCAGCCCATGTGTTTGGAGCATGAGGATGAGAAGATCAATATTTATTGTGTGACCTGCCAGGTGCCCACCTGCTCCATGTGCAAAGTGTTTGGAGCTCACAAGAACTGCGAGGTGTCACCCCTGGAGAATGTCTACCAGCATCAAAAGGTGAGGGCCCACACCTTCAAGATGTGCACAAGAACAGCAAAAATAATTATTATTTTTGATTTCACTGATGTTTTTATTTAAACTGACTTACACACATTAGCATTACCTTTTTATTACATACAAATGGTGAATGCAATTTATAGGGCTGGGTTTGGTCCAGTTAGGTACACTATCCCTTCAGTGAGGGGTCCTGTGCCCAAGTCAAAACTCTATCAAAACTTAAAACCCCTCACAACTGTTCTTACTTCATCACATTAATGGAGACTGTAGGCTGATTAAAGTCAGGAAATCAAAAGATCAAATGAAAAGGCTAAAAATATTAATAGCATTATTGTTGATTTAAATATAGTTTTACAAGTGAAAAGGGATGTGTATTTGGTAAACATGAGAAAAACAGTAGGTGGATTTTTTAGAGACATGGTTTCAGTTACCAGTCAATCCTGGAGTCTGGTATTGAGATGCACTTAGGTAATGATTGTTAACAATGCTTAATTTAATGGATTTTTCATAAATGCCATATATCTGTTTTAGTTGTTACCGATTAGCAAACTAGTGCTTAGCACATCATACAGTAAATAGAAAATATGTAGTTTTATCAGTACTTCATGCCTCCTGTGCTTCTCTAAGCATTGTATTTTTTACCTGTTAATTGGGAATGTCAGCTGGGTTTTAGAACGTCATGAGACAGGTTAGTTTTATTCTACTGATGATGTTTTGTTGCAATGCGTAATCTTGTTCAGTACAACTGGAACCACAGACTCAGACCTCTGGTGTCTGTGTCTGCTTGAGAAGCCAATAGGATTATGATTAAACTCCTCTAAATCTGAATCCCCCCTAAAAGATGTATTATTTCTCAGTTATATAAGGAAGCTGTTACACTTACAGGATAGTTTTTTCTAATCATCTGTTCATATGTGGTGCTAAATACTCTAGGAAAAGTAGTATCAGGTGAGTAACAATTCTGTGAGCTGTACAAAACGGACTTAAACCCTGTGGTTTTCAATTAGATCTCCGTGAGAGACTTTAACACCTGCATTGAAGACGTTTGCTTCATTGTGGCATTTTAAACAAATGTGTGGGTGAGAGGTTGGTGCCAAGTGGTATTGGTATGAGTAACAGGTGGTCAGTCTTGAAAATGCACAAAGCCATAATGTTGTCAGTGTGGTGCACTTGTATTGGGAGTAACTGCCATTCAGCATTTCAAGCTAAGGAGTCATCATAAATCTGTACTTCATTGTCATTTTCATCTGGTGGGATTCAAGAAACTTCCTCATGCTCTGACATTATTTTAATTAGAAAGACTTTTGTGTTCTTGTCCGTGCACTGCTAGCTTGAGACAGAGAAGTGATGTCCCTCTCTTTTTGGTTACTGTAAACTAGGAGGCAGTCAGAGGAATTTGTCACATATCTGCATGTGGGGTGGAATGCCTGCTGCAGTGACTATATATACCCAGAGGTCACTGAGACTTTCCATGCAAGGCCATGGGAGCTCAGGTTAAAATTAGCGAGTGACAGTGTGACAACTGCCTGCGTTGAAGGAGAGGCCTTATCGGACAAGCAGGAGAGGCTGTTTGTGTCAGAGATATGGTGGATTCTTTATGAGGTAAATGAATGATGCCACTGCAACGAAAGATATCCCACTTTTTTCCTGTTTCTGCTGTTTCACATGTTTCATAGCAGAAATTTAAGGTGGCCTAGTCTTCTGTCTAAAGTTTAATGTGTATGGAGAGAATGCTCCGAAGGTGATGGAGTATAACATTTTGTTTTAAATTCCATCTTCTTTAAGTCTTTCATATTCCTGGAGTCTAACATGCTGTGTTTTCTTCTATGACTCTTCTCTAAAACTTTCACATCTGTGTTAAAAACTACAGTTGGATTGGAATGGTATACGTTTTCATTTTCCATGATTTGCCAACATTCTTACAAAAACTACCCCAAAATCCCTAACATCTTGACCTGTTTTTATCTTTAGTGGATTAGTAAGGTGAAAGGTCCCTTAAGAGGAGCATAAAGAACGTATGAAGTGTAACAAAGGCAAAGAGAACATTTGGCCTATAATACACCATTGGTAGTCTATTACTGTAGCTAAGTGAATACAATTAAAATTTCACCCATGTTAAGGGAGCCTGATTTTGGATCTTAACCACTTGGCTGGAAGCCTATTCGAGATACCCACAACCATTTGTGTAAAAAATCATTTTCTATTCTCTAGCTACATTTATTTGCTTTTAGTCTCCAGTTGTGAACCCCATGACCTTGTTTCAGCACTGAGTATGAAATAGCCTCCAAGTTATCTCTCCCTCACTGGTCTGAAGCATCCTATACCCTGATCATGTTGTGCACAGTCTTGTTATAGGGAGTGTTAGCTAGTTCCTATACCTCTGCTAAACTTAGGTTACAGCAGTGGTCAGTATGCTGGGTCTTAAGCCCACAGATCTCAAGCTCAAGTTGCCCAACCAGCCATTGATGAAGATGTCTCCCTAGATACTGTATTTCCAACCAGGAACTGCCCTGCAAACCACACACCTCCAGGGCCTCTTATTGTTTCCCTTATATCCTCTGCCTTAAATATTGAAATAGCAGAACATTTATAACAAAGGGTGTTGATTATAGATCCCACATTTATATTTATGTTTGTTAATGTTTTACATGGTCTTGTATAGTGGGTAAGCTCAGACAGATGGGTTGGGGGTTCGAGTCCTTGCTGCAGAAGTTGCTGTTGTATCTTAATCCTTTTGTGTCACAAAAAAAAAACAGTATGGAGGAGAGTGTCAGAAATTGAAAAGGGTTTCAAAAAGTCTCCTATAGAGTTCTTGTTGCAAAGGGTGAACAAAGCTTTGTCCTTGGTTGTAATTTGAATAGATCAAGAAATGACAACAAATAATAAACACGTCTCTGTCAAAACGGACAGAATTTGCAAGTTGAAATATAAATAAAAACTCTAATGCTATTCTGAAAAGATTTGTGGGAAGTGCTTTTATACTTTGCACATTGACCACTTGTAAATTCTGTAACAGAGGAAAATCCCACCTGACACAGACCTGACACAAGGTATTAGAGTACCCTGCTGAAAGCCACATACTCGGACTGAGTATATAATCACATTCAAACAGCAACCATGAGCCAGGAATAATGCATTAAGATACCCAGTGCCTAAGCCCCTGCAAATGATGTTTTGCATGATTACAGTTAGGAGGTCAAGGGTATTAAGCAAGTGGGTAAGTTTAGTAGTGGGTCAAAACTGCAAAGACAGTTTATGGGAGTGTGTCTTCTCTTGTCAGCATGATGCTGCTTGCAGGCCTCACTGTCTGTGTACACCCCAGCCCGACTGACAGCTATGTGAGTAGTCAGCATTTTGGGAAGTATCTCCCCAGATGGGCTTGTCTGCTTCCTCCACCAGCTGCTATTCTCAGAGGGGCTATATTTTCACGAAACCATGCCCAGCACACACAGCCCTTTAAACAGCAAGGATATCTGACTCCCCTCAGTCTCCTGAGCAGCTTTCCATTGCCTTTGACCACCCTCTCATGTCTGCATTATCCTGTTTGCTGATTTCAACAACATTTACAGTATCTATTCAAAGATTCACACAGAAAAGCCAAGAAACATAGTACTGGAAAGTCTGGGAGCTTAACAGTGGCTCTAATCCAAGTCAGTCCAAGTCTGTCCAAGTCCAAGCACTGTTACCTTTTTATGAATTGTTTTTTACTTGTTTTTAACATCTGTGAATGGTTCACCAGCAATTACTTATATACAGTATCTTGACTTTACAAATTCCAGTTTCACTGCTAGAGTTGGTGCTGACAGTTTGCATTAACATCACTGTAAGAATGCAGACACCCAGCAAGTCACAGGAAACAGTGTCTGCCAGCTGAGAGAGCCCTGTCCAACTAATCCCAGAATGTTCACAGCAGAACTGTGACCAATACTGCTTAATATATGCATAATAACAGCTATTCATTAAGTATATACAGTTAAAAGCATTTAATATTGGTGTAGGCAATAAGTACTGACAAAATCTCTGTGATGTCTTAAGTGTTAGCATATGTATCTCAGCAAGGTCAGCTGATACACTGGCTCAAAATAAAATGTTAGAGCTGCTTCATAGAGCCCAGCCTACACTACGAGCAAGTGTCTTTGCTGTCTGAGTGGCTCAACCAGTAAGGGCACTAGTGACTTGATGATTAATGTATTACACAAAACAATCAGGTTTATCTCAAGTCTACAGAATGCTTTCTGGGTAACAGACCTCCAATTGAGTCAGTCTTTAAAATCACTGTGAGACACAGCGGAGTTATCCCTCATCCTGTGACTCCGCTAGTCCCCACTAGAGGTCCCAAGATGACAGGGAATGTAGTTATTTCCCAGTCTCCTCCCTGACAGCTGTGTGAACCTGCAGTAACTAGCTAATTAGTTTCCTAATTCAACACCCTATATTAGGTACTCATGCATCTGCTCCTCAGAACCTTGCCAGCAGCAATCCAGCTCAGGTGCAAACCCTTGGTTCTCTCCTTAAACAAGAGAACGGAACTCTCCCTTTTGAGCATACCCGCTCACCCTTAAAATTGTATATTTGACAACATGCTGTACCTACAAATGATTGCGCATCAGCCCTCTACCCCCTTCAGAGGGGTATTTGACCTAAAGCCGGTGTAAAACACAGTCCTGATATCCACAGCGAATGCTTAAATGGTGTCCCATTTAGCAAGTAAGGCAGATAAACTCAATACCCAAAAGAACTGATGTTTGATTTCTGTGTTACAATCGCTCATCTACTTGAAGTTACATTGTTAAAGGTCCTGTTCCCCTTCTGTTCCCAGGGAATTCAAGTTGCGGAACAGAAAGGGGTTCTGGGTTTATCCAGTGGCCCCTCATTAATTATTCCACTTAAAGCATCAATCTAAACAAGGCATGTGATATAACATGTGTCAGGCCTGTGCACTATCCATTACCAATTCGCATTTGGCAGTGCTCTAAGTAGGTCTGTGGCAGGTCCGTGAAGAAGAACCTCAATTCATGGCACCTCTGACAACGCCGTGCCCAGCTCACACTGTATCTTGCCCTGGCAGACGGAGCTCAGTGATGGCATTGCTACACTGGTGGCAGGCAACGACCGAGTCCAGGCCATCATGAACCAGCTGGAGGACACCTGCCGAACCATCGAGGTGAGTGCCAGGTGGATTACACAGCATTAAGTTGGTGATGGCCCAAGTTCTGGTTTATCCAGGTCCCAGGTTGACCTCTTATCATGATCAATTACTGTATTATTTTTCCAGACAGGTCTTACTTCATTTGAAACCACATTACATACATTGAAATGACATATCCCTAGAACTTCAATATAATACTGTACATACAGTACATCAGGTGCTGATGCCCAGACAATCAATAAGCATTGCCATAATAGTGGGTTAGGCTGAACTGTGCACATGAGAATAAGTATGCTGCCTTAATGAAATAATCAGTGCTGCTCCAGCAGTGGCCCAGTGCTTGCTCGTTGCTGGGAAAAATTATCAGAATGTTATTTGCTGAGGCCCCGTTTAATCTTCTGTCCTCTCCTACTTCACCAAAACTTTATGTCAATGAGAAAGG